TCCCCCTCTGTTGCGCGAGTGATCATCTCAAAACCGGAATGGCTGCAGGCTATGCTCGGAAACGCAATCAGAACTGAGCTTTAGTCCATTCGGCGGAGCGTGGAGCGCTGGCCAGCCGCTTAACTCTAATACCCACCGGGCTTAGTGGCACGGCTCTTGTAATGACGCACAGCAGTCGGGTGTGGGAGTGGGTTTGTAATACCATCGATTTGTGCTACTTTAACTGGTCCGATGCCCGCTCACGAGCTGTTATTCCTAGGCAGTTTTGTTACGAAACCGTGTTTGCGAAGCGATGTTCTATGTTGACTGGTTGTTGCCAGGCCGCGCTTGCGTCAAGTTTGGTGCCAAGTGAGATGCTATGTATGAGACATCGCTTCATGCTCAGACGGAAAACCGTGACGATTCTTTCAGCTTCAGGGCCCGTAAGGCCGTAACACCACCACCGCGGTAACGCAAACTCGTGACACTTCCCTCACCGACCCTGGCGCACTATATCTACCCGCGGCACCAACCCCCTACCCGCTCCCATCCCAGACTCACGGTGACTGATAACCTCCCTTTTTCTTCTCTGCAGCGTGTTTGAGGGCCACAGTATACCATATCCGAAGCGCGAGTTCCTCACGGAGGAGGACCAAGAGGACAAGTCCTCGGCCAACAAGGTGAGAAAGGTACTCTGGCTGGTGAAGGACACGGCCCTCCGTGAACGGTACGCTGTCGGCGGCCAGGCGCCGCCCGCCCCGTGCCCCTGCGCGCGCGACCCCTCCCCCCGGCGGCGGACGCAGGCGGCTCCGGAGACGCTGGAGGGCACGGCCAACCGACGCCGATAGCCTGATCGCATACATGATTATCTAGCACTCAAGGAAAGAAGTGTAGAAGATTTTCGCACTTGTTCCGCTAAAATATAGTGAATAGAGTGCTGTAACGGCAGTGGTTTCAGTTAGGCTTCTCTGTCAGTTGTTTGGTGTTAACGTCCGGCCATCTGGAGCGCCTCCGTCTGCCGCTCTTGTGCCATAGACCGGTGAGGATCGAGCCGTGCCGGATAGCGCGTGGCAGACAAGTTAATTCCTTATGGGGTACATTCCACCGAGGGGCATGTTATGGGCTGCGACCAGGACCAGTCGCCACGCGTGCTTAGCTTGTTAACGCGGATATTGTCAAAAATCTGTCTTTCGGAGCCCGGGAGTCTTAAAGTCATCTTTGCCGGCTTTGACATTTCTTACGGAATTTACCTGCGCCGGCTGACTAAGCCTAGTGTTGGGACGCGTTTCGTTTGGTCATGTCCGCCCATTGTCGGGTACGGCTCGGTCGTCTCCGCCGCGACCCGCTCCACCGGGAGGATACGAGGTGGCCCGGGCAGGCCAGCTCGGCATCAAGACTGCGACCCAGGACGGTCGCTAGCGACCTCTATCTACCTCCAATTCACCAGTTCGGCCCCTAGCATCGTCACATCCCGTTCACCGTAACAACCTTTCTAGTCCTATCACAAAACAATAACCATGTAACGATTAGCACAGCCCGCTCGTCCAAAGCCACAGCCTAACCGCCCACTGTTATGCACCGTACATATATCTACTGTCACAGTCCTCCCGCCTGCCCAACATCACAACCCACACGTTCAAAGCCATACCTGCCCGCCCAAGGTCTGTCCACAGCCTATCCAACGTCACAACCCGGCGTTCGCCTAAATTACGACCCACCGTCACTCGCTGTCACAGCCTGCCCGTCCACCGTCACAGCGGTTGCGGGCGTTCATTGACCCTCTCTCTCTCTCTTGTCACCAGTCCGTCGCTCGGACCGGGCTGCTGCACTTTTTCATGTTGATTCACCCGCTTACACTGCTCGGATCACTCGAGTCGCGACTTCGCTCGCTCTGTCCGTCTTCACACGGCAGTTGTGTCACCCCTGCTTGGAGTGTACCCTCCCCTGAGCATGACCGCGGTGCCGAGACGGTACCGGCCTCAGTAGACGGTAGTCCGGCGCTTCTGCCGGCGGCTGCTCTACCTCAGCTGCCAGGGAGTGACGCCAGCTCCGACCGCGGCCCGCGCGCCGCCACTCCGAGCCGAGCCGATCTGGCCTGCCCCGGCCGGCGGCCGTCCACAGCTGAGTCTGACGGCGCCTCGTGTCCAGTTCTCAGCTGGCGGTGTGCGAATGGTCACTTACATGTCCGGCTAGTTGTGTATACTGGACCTCATTTTAGCTTTTGTGTAAATGCCTTGCTTTGGGTTAAGCTGTGGTCTTACTTTTCTTTTGATTTACATTTAATGTGTGGACGCGCCCTAAAGCCCCAATAAACAACAACAACATTTAATGTGTGGATGTACGGACCTAACGTAGCATTGTGCATGGCTGTCTTTTTACATGCGTGTGCTGTGTACGCACATCTCATGTGTGTTGCATGCCCGTATGCAAGTATGCTAGTATGCCTGTATGTAAGTGTGAATGTGTGTACGAATGTTTGTATGTTCATGTTCATACCAGCGCGTGTATACCGGTCGTTTTCCGCTGAACTGACACCGGTCCGCCGGCCGGTCGGTCTACCGTCGCGCAGGGAGCCGAGTCTCACGGTCAGGCGGCCAAGCGGGTACGGCTGGGACACGGGCCGCACCAGGTCACCTCGCAGGCCAGCGACAGCCACGGACACCAGATGAGTCGGCAACAGGTTAGTGAAATCGCCCCCGGCCCCGCCCCGTGCTGCCGTTAGCACTGTGAGCGCGTTCGATACCACGACTCTCAAGCTGTGGATGGACCGCGTGCGGTGCTGCCGTTCACAATGTGAGCAAATTCTATTTCCAATTTCACAAATTCTAGATCTCTTATTCATGATCATCAATGTAAAGATACCTGCGATACTGTCGTTCACAGATTGAGCAGAGCATGCTTCTCTCGTTATGAGCTGGCCAAGCCGTGTCCGAGGCTCATGCCTGCTGTTGGAAACACACTCCGCAATAAGCGACGTTAGAAACGTATTTTATCACGGGATGGCGTCCTATAAGGAGTTAAATGCGCCTCTGCAGCCGGATGGGCTACGATCCCCATTAGATTTCATTCATTCCGTTTATGAACAGCTTGCTCAGATTGGGATCTCATTGCGACCTCAAGGAAAACCCTTCGGGGTCATTAGTTGGGTATTCTGAGAGAACGGATCGATTAAGTCAACATACTGAGATGTCATCGCTGAGCTAAAAATGGGCACCGGCAATGACCAACAATTCGTGGAATGCAATTGGTAGCATTTCACTCGTAGATTGTCCTAAATGTGTCTGTTCAATTGCAAGGGCATCAATTATGGCGTCGTACCTCGGCATTTGTCGCTATTTATGTAAGCGTCCTGCATTCAGACCGTGCATTCCAGTGAGATTGGCAAGGTAATGGTCTCATAATGTCACGGTGACAATATTTCGCACCAGAACGGTGTGTTATCATGTCGCTTGATTCAACGAGGAGTGTATGAACAAACCGAACCATCTAACCGCATCATAATTGAATGGGTTTGTCGGTGTTTCGCTTTGATCGTAGAGGATAAAAAGAAATAAGATATTTAAAACTTTCTATTCGTTTCAGCATTCCAGTCACATGAGTCAGCAACAGCAGCAACAACAGCAACAACAGCAACAGCAGCAGCAGCAGCAGCAGCAGCAGCCGCCGAGCAGTATGAGTTTCGGCCAGGCGAGCGCGGGTGGACCCAACCCGAGCCAGTATGGCCAGCGGTACTGAGAGGCGACCGTCGCTGAGCCGCTGCTGCTGCCGCCGCCGCCTCCCGCTCACAGCGGCAGGGCTGGGTGGGGGACCGGACCGCAGCCGCCCACGGCATATGACTCCCGGTGGATCACCACTGCCGGTATGTGTGACAGAGGGCGGGTGCCGGCACTGAGGTCGGCTGGTCCGGGCAGTTATCGATACTGTCCCCAGTGGGATGCGGTAAACGACAGTTATCTGTGGAGAACTACTGCCGATGGCGGCGGAGAACAGCTGCAGAAGCTGGTAGCTGCGGAGGAGACAGCTTCCGATAGTTTTATCAGTGGTGAACAGCTGCCCGATTATCGGCAGTGAAGGGCAGCTTACGTCAGCAGGAGGAAACCTCTCTCGAACTGTGTCCATTGGAGGCCTGCTGCCGGCGTTAGCAGAGAAGACATCTGTCGTTCCTACTTCCACCGGAGGACAGATGGTTCGCCTGTGGACGCTGCCCCGCCGAGGCATGGGCCCCCGAGGCTGAGAGCACAGTGGCAGTGTGATTAGGGCTTTCTGAACATTGCACCATGCCCGCGACTTGTGCGCCGTGCGACTTCTAGGCCATTCCTGTGGCACGATACTCGACAGTGTGAAATGTGAATGGGCCGTCTGGGAAAGGTTGAGCGTGCTGAGCGCGATTTTATTGATCTGGTTCTTCCGTAGCGTCGCCACTACTCAGCAAGTGACTTGACTGTCACGGCAGTCTGTGACTCACTCAGTCGGTGAAATGAGTTGATACCGTGGCGTGTATATCCCCGAACACCATTGCATTTGGAGTCAGACGTATGTGAAAGTGTAACTGATGACCCGCCGTGTCACGGCGCCCTCCCCTGCGCACTGTCTGGCGATTCTGGAGTACTTCCTTAGTTGTGGGTGGGTAAGAGAGCGACCCTGTGCCCCGTAACGGTGCGATGTTTGTAGTTAGTTTTGGTGATTGTGAATCGTGATGCCTTTTTGTACAAAATACATATTCGTGACAAATAAGCCATTAGTCGCGTTGGTCTGGAGTTGTCCAGTTAGATCAGTGAAGTGAGTAGTCATATTCGGTCGGTTAGAATATGCTGGGTTGTGAATTGCGATGTTGCGTGTTTTCTCAGTGATTGCTGCTTTTTACCGTTCATATTTGTTTGCGTTGATCGGCAAGTGGTCTAGTAAATGGGGTCTGACCAGGTGTTAGGTGTGAATGGAGGGGGAGGGAGGGGGGTAAATGATCCTTCTGCCAGCTCGGGGGGATCATCGTCACACTCCACACAATAGTCACACACAGCAGCTTATTCGACACAATAGTGCCAACAATGTGTATTGAACGAAATAAGGAAATCCGGCATGCACCTTATCGCAACACGCAACATGACAGGAAACAAGAACAAAACAAAAACACCTTGGTACCGCCAGATCGTTCGAATCACATTCGCCGGTGTTTGGAGGACAAGCATGCACGTTGATCACAGCCAAAACACAGCCGACGACATAAGCACAGCCGGGAAAGTCTTGACATCGATTGTTCGATTGAAGATTGAAGACAAGGTCTTGTTCATGTATCCCCAAATCTGCGTGTCAGCATCACCGCCGAATCTCATGCGACTTCGGTATGGTGAACAATACGAACGGAAGATAAAAATGAAGCATGCAAGACAAACTGCCGGCAACTTTGTACACTGGTGGATGATACTGATACTGGTAGTACTCGTACATACCCAGTACGTGGGCACAACGAGCAGACATATGCCAACACAATCCAGTCTGTCCATAACCACGGAGACTCCGTCACGCCAGTGTGTACCTGGATGGCTCAACTCTCTCAGAACTTCGTACCCGAGTCGCCCCGGCGCACCCGCCCCCAGTTGCCGACCCGGTGTAGCCTGTTGTCCCTCACATGCCGAGCGGCCTGTACCCGAGTGGTACAGGCGCACAGGCGGCGGTCCAGTGATGCCCGGTGTCATCCTTCACATGCCGAGCGGCTCGGGGGTGTGGTGACTGACCAGCTCCTCGATACTGGGACTCGCGGGGCGCAGGTAGGCTGCGGGGGGAGCGGCGGAACACTGTGCCTCCGCCACTGTCCGCCAGCACGACCTGGTGACATGGAGGAGGTCAGAGAGACGGCGGGGGCCCTGCAGCAGCCGCCGCTTCCAGAGCCTATCAGCGGTATGCAGCTCATCATGCACTTCTTATCTAACGAATAGTGTTTGTTTATTTCAAACAACCTGCGGTTACTCATTGATGCTGATGTTCTCTATTGGTCTGTGCCTCTATAGCCCCGACCTAAGGTATACACCTGTTCTGGTAACAGCCCTAAGGATTGCACCTCCAGTGTCCTACCCTGGGGTGTTTTCCGCCTCAATTTATCTGACCTTAGGTCGACGGCGGGCGCGGCACGCAGTCCCTGCCTGTAGCGCGGGTCGGGGATCCTCAGACGAATCGGTGTCGGGCGACGCGGCCGCTCCGGCTGCCGAGGACGGGGGTAATCCGTCACAGCGGGAGCGCGCGTCAGTCCACAATGGCACACACTGACAGTATAGTTGGACCGATCGGCGATCATGATTACAGTAAGGACTAAATATTCGGTGTCGTATAACTGACAGTGAGCCAGCCGCCCACGGTCCCTCCAGTCGACATCGCACTGTCGCTTCAGTTCATCCTTTCTGATCTGTCTCACCCTATCCACCTGATCTCACCTGGGGGCCGGCGCCGTATCCCGGGGCTGTAGGAGTCAGCAGCTGGGACAGCTGCTGCCGCTGTAAGAATGTCTGATCTCACCTGATCTCACCGTGGGTGTCAGCTGGGACAGCTGCTGGCGCTGTGACTACACCTCTGTTCTCACCTGGGGGCCGCCGCCGGGTCCCAGGGCCGTGGGTGTCAGCTGGGACGGCTGTTGCCGCTGCTGGAGGTGGCCCTGTGGCGAGCTGAGCACGGCCGGACACTGGCACTGCACATGAGAGGGGAAAGGGGGCCGTCAATGACAATGGCGGACACTGGCACTGCACACAGAACGGCGGGAAGGGGGCCGTCAATGACAATGGCGGACACTGTCACTACACCCAAGGCGGTAGTGCCCGGGTACAGGTCAACGAGACATGTACCTATGACCGAGCCATTCCAGCCGCGCTCATCCAGAACAGCAAGTTACACACCGTTACAACAACAAGCTTCAACGAGCACGCTATTTACAATACATGCACACGGTTGGTTAGCCGCCCGCTAACTCAGCCAAAGTAAGCGTGCGCTCGGCATCTGGAAAATGAGGGATAATTTTCCGGGATCACCGGTGATTATTTGGTATTGCAGGGACCATTGATAAAATAAGTCATGTTTTTTACATTGCTTATGTTTCGCTAATGGTTCCATTACTCGTTGTCATGTCCGTTGTGCAAGGTGTCAACCTAAAACACCGATTCATCCCGGGGATCCCGGAAAATTATCCCTCAATTTCCAGATGCCGAATACATGCTAAGCCTGTTACTATTGGATCATGACATGACGTGGTCCGTTTATTGGATCACTAATATCTCAATCTACCTGTCCGTGATCCATTGATTCCTGACTGTTGATCCGTTCAGGCTATGGTGAAAAGCGACAAATACCCGACATCTCTAATCGATTGTCCCGTCCCTGACCTCATCAACGACCACCAACCCACCACGCCGCGTTTTCCCCGACTGCCTAGCCTGACAGGCGGCCGGTAGTCGTCAGCTGAGTTCAAGTCACCCGTCCTGCAGGCTGCAGTGCTGACAGTGCTGACTCGCCTGGCAGGCGCCAGGCGGCCGAAAGCCGTTACCTGTTGAGTTTGTGATCCATCTCTAATCTGCTCTCCCGTGACCGCTGCCACATCCCTGTCGCACTTCCCCTGTCTCAACCCGACAGATGCCCGGTAATTGATACCTTTTTAGCCACTGACCCGTCCCTGACCAGTCGCCTCACCCGTGACCGTCGCGCTGATTCGCTCACCTGACAGGCGGCGGAAAGAGTGCCGCAGCAGCCCGTCGGCCGACAGTGGCTGCATGAGCCGCCCGCCAGCAGATGCAGACAGAACTCGTGCGGCCGAGCCGGGTCGGAGCCAGCACACGCCAGCCGCCCGCGAGGCACACCCATGGCGACCGCTGTGGGGCGAGCGGGGCCCAGTGGTAATAGAAGTGCATGCTACATCATGCAACAGCGCAGCACCGCCCAACGAACAGAAGTAAAACATCGTGTCAGGCCTGTCAAACATGTAGAAACAGACTGGCCTCGTATCTGTCATTTGGTTCCTTCAGATTTTGATCCTTTTTGCCGATTCGGTTTAAATGGCCGAGCGTTAAAGGAAATAGTTCACTTTCCTGAAATTAGTATTTTGCTATGGATTTATGTTTTTTATGCTCAAAATGATCAGAAAATAAAACAAAACGTTTTTGTAAAAAGGATTATTTTCTATATTTTAGTATAAGAAGAACTATATTCTATATAAAATAATGTTTGACGCGGAAGCTTATTACGCGTTGACCAATCATATTGCGTAGGACAAACCTATCGGCTGTAAGCAGCATTCTGATTGGCTGACGATGATGTGACTGCATTCCTCAGCAAGGCACGCATTCCTCTGCAAGGCACTCTTTTCGGAACGAAAAATGGAATATCTTCGTCTAGGGTGATCGTTGGGCCATAAAAGCTTCTGATTTGTGCTAGTCTCAGCGCAAGCAACAAAACTGCTATTCCAGTTCCAAACCCCATGTTAAAAGTGAACTATTTCCTTTAACGCGAATGAATGCGAATTAGGGCGCAGCACGGGACGCGGGCTGGTACATTCAAGGCTTCAATGACAAGAAACAATTCGTATTGGCAGCTATCCCGGTTCGCAGCAGGACCGTCTCGATGCCAGGTTGTGCCAGTAGGGCAAATGCCAGTCTTTCACGTTCTAAAAAATAAAAATAAAACGAACTGTGACGGTCGAGGAAACCTGAAGAGACGACACGAAAGGAAGAATGAGCTGTTTATTTTTTATTTCACTGGAGAGAAAGCGACTTGGTAATTAGACGACACATCTCTTTAAGACGACAGCTTTCCCGGCCCGGCCGGGAAGCTGCGATCCGCCACAGACTAACACATCTGAGATAGCCGCGAGTCGTAGACAGCGTGGCCGAATTAGCCGTTCCCCGGGCCAGGGCATGGACTGACACACTAACAGGCCACTGCCCCGGGTCAGGTCCGAAAGAAGTTGCTGACATTAAAGGCAGCTTGATATGAAAAAGCCATCTTGATGTCAGTCAATCAATGTGTGCGCTTTGTGCTGGATTTATCGAGTATGTTCTTGTTGGTGGGTTAGCGCGCAGAATGGATAAGTGAGTTTTTATCATCCAAGATAAATGTGCAGCATTTGTATGGGTGTGTTACAGAGAGAGAGAGGAGAGAGAGAGAGAGAGAGAGAGAGAGAGAGAGAGAGAGAGAGAGAGAGAGAGAGAGAGAGAGAGAGAGAGAGAGAGACAGAGAGAGAGAGAGAGAGAGAGAGAGAGAGAGAGAGAGAGAGAGAGAGAGAGAGAGAGAGAGAGAGAGAGAGAGAGAGAGAGAGAGAGAGAGAGAGAGAGAGAGAGAGAGAGAGAGAGAGAGAGAGAGAGAGAGAGAGAGAGAGAGAGAGAGAGAGAAGAGAGAGAGAGAGAGAGAGAGAGAGAGAGAGAGAGAGAGAGAGAGAGAGAGAGAGAGAGAGAGAGAGAGAGAGAGAGAGAGAGAGAGAGAGAGAGAGAGAGTCGGAGATGGAGACAGCCAGATATGCACACAGCCGGCACGATTAGACCGCCCAGGTCCGAGTCACTGACCTGAGCCGCCACCTGCCGGAGTCCGGAGTCGCAGCGGCCAGCCGGAGGATGTCAGAGGCACCAGCTGGGACTGGCACGGTGCGTCCGGCGGGTGACGCAGCAGACCGGCGCCGTGCAGGTGATGGTGGACCGGCCCAGGTCGCGCCGCCGACGCCGCGGGGTGAACTGAGCACGCCAACACGCAGGACACAGGACGGGAGTGGGTTCAACGGCCAGGGAATTAATGGGGCTGATCATGTAATGGAATTAAGGAGAGAGCGAGGGTTGTAATCACAACAAATCATGAGAGGCTAAAAAGTATCATGCGTTGTGACAGCTTTGCCAGTCATCCTGCGCCATTAGTCGACGCGCAGTGCGCTCTATCATTGGCCGCGGGCGGTCGTAACTCACCGGCAGCCCAGGGGTGGTCGGCCGGCCTCCCAGCCACCCCGAGCTGGTGACAGCCGCCGTCGGCCAGCTCCGCTCGGCCAGACAAGTAGCACGGCGCTGCGTCGGCGGCCGGCGCCGGTCCGTAGCCCGCCGCCAGGCTCTGGTACACCAGCTGACCGTCTGGGCCGCGGCCGACCGGTACAAACGCGCCGGCGCCGCTGCTGGGACCCGGCGGCACCACCGTCCACTGCGTCTCCCTGCCGTGGGCGCTGCTCACTGGGTGGTGCAGCGGCCCGCGCGCCACCCCCTCCGACACGCCCTGGCCGGCCGGCGGGTAGGCAGAGCGGTGCACGCCGCCGGGGTCGACAGACGGCGGGGTCTCCGTCTTCACACCGGGCTGGGGGACCGGCCGGTCGGCAGGGGCGCCCCCGGCCGCGGTGCTGGAGTCCGCATCTGCGCTGAGAGCTCCGCCCGGTTCGGCGGCGTACGGCGACCTCCGGCGGGGCTGGAACGGTGCCGAGAGCCACGGTCAGGGTCGGACCACGGACTTGGTCCAACGCTGCGATTCCCAGAAATACTGAATCACCCAAACAGGTGTAACGAAAAAACGAGGTGGAAAACACGCACCGACGGAGTGATACGCATCGTCCACCGCTACAATCCACATTCCACGTAACGGTACACACTTACGCAGCCGGCAAAGACTAAAAAACACGGGCAGATGCTGCCCAAAGGAGCGTGCTGATCTAATTCTAGACCCCAGCTCGTCCAGGTGAAGTAGTATGATAATTCAGCATGTCCTGAAACAATAACCCAGCCGCATTTTGGCGTGATAGAAGGTGATTGATAATCCGAAAGATCCTACATAAGCAACGGTCTAATTAAGAGTCTGATACCTATGTAGCGCTTTAACAGGCCGTAAGACCGGAGTGTAGTGGTCTGACCGGCAGTCCGGCCTGGTGTAATTATTTTCCCGGCACCCAGACCGTAACCTTGGTCAGAACTGAGTGTAGTGGTCTGGCCGGCAGTCTGACCAGCAGTCTGACCTGGTGCAGGAGCCGGTCCGAGGAGAGCGAGTCGAGCAGCTGGGCCACCTCCATCAGCTTGGCCCTGGTCTCTGTGCTGGGCGGATCGCCCTCACAGCCCATACCGGCTAAACGGGGGACGCCGACAGTCACATATCAACAGCTCTACACCATCGGCAGCATGTTACACACTGTATGTAGTCTCTGAGCACACTGTCAGGACCGGACATCTGAATGGTGCACAGTTTCTACACATTTCAGTTCTACCTGGACTGTATAAAACGAGACACAGCGGATAGATGAAGAGTCACCACTCATCCTTTCTACGTAAATTACGTACGTAATATCTATTATTTTAGCATTCTGTTTGACAAAAGCTCCCCCTCCCACCAGTGATTCGAATTACTTTTTGGATGAATATAATTTGGCATTTGCTATCAAACTAGATGCAATTGCACAATTTGAGGGCGTTTTATATTCATCCATCAATCTATTTTATCCAGTATCAATCATGCATGCAGGACTTTTTATGCCCCACTTATTTATGAGTGGTGAGGAGTCATGTGCCTTATGGGGCACGGGAACGGTACGAAGGCTGTAATCAAGCACAAATCACGAGAAGCTAAGCACCATGCGCTCTGACAGTTTTGCCAGTCATGCTGCGTTATTACTCGACGCGCAGTGCGCCGCAACCAGCGGTGGCCGGTCCTACAGCTCACCGGCGGCCCAGGAATGGTCGGCCTGCCTCCCAACCACCCCGAGTTGGTGACAACGGACAGCCACCTACCCAGTACCGGTGCACTCACAACTCCGATCCCACGGTACCCAGCACTCAGCGCCCAAACACCCCCTCACGCCGACCTACCGAGCTCGGCACCGGTGCCGTCAGTGGCGGGCTTGGCCGCCTTCTCCTTCCTCACCAGCTCGCGGGCCTGTTTCCGCATTCGGGCCTCCTTAGGGCTGTAGACGTACGCTGAAATACACACCATTCGTCATGGGCGTGGACTTGGAAAGGACGTCCACTATGAGAGAGTATCATGGATATGGTTAGCAATGCAAAATATGAGCACACTAGTACAGCTAGCTGTTGCCACAACTGCAGCTAAGCACGCGAATCTATAAACATAAAAATGTAAGTAATGGCCTATCTCAGTCACGTAAGAAACCTATATCAAATGTAAGCCATGGTGAGCGTTATCCAGCTGAGTTGTTACACTCACAGGGGTAGAGCCGCTTGTGCTCGGCCGCCGCCTCCTTGGCCACTTGATAGTAGACCGTCTTCCTGTCTGCCGGCATGGCCTTCCACATCGAGCCCAGCCGAACTGAGATCGACTGGTTGGTCTCGTTCGGGAACGCCCTCGCCAGTAGCTTCCTGCCCGGTTGTAAATACAGCAAACGCCAAACGACTATAATTGTAGCGTGTCTCCATGCGAGCGACATTCGATACAGACACATCGTTATGGCATGCCGACACAACTCGATGTGCTCGACTCGATACGTAAGCATTATAACGAAGACCAAACGAGAGAACCGTGCCAATGACGTATGAATGCCGTGTTACTATGGCGAAAAGCCCGCAGTCAGTCGGGTCACTTTACGTTGGCTAGGCCATTCATGACGTCCGGTAATCATAGATTAGTGCTGCCCCGTTTAAAAATGTGTCGTGGCCATCCGCACTCACCTGCGCTCGTTGGCAAACACCATAAAGGCGTTGGGCGGCCGCCGAATTTTCGGCGCGGCGCTCGGACGCGGCTGAGGGGGTGGCGGCGGCGGCGGTGGCGGTGCCGGCTGCTGCCCCGTGTCGGCGACCCCCTCGGCGGGTCGTGCCGGGGGCGGCACGTACTGAGCCACACCGTACGGGTCGAGGCCGGGGTCATAGGTCAGGTCACCGGACAGCGTCGGGACCACGCAGCCGTCGTGCAGGGCGTAGAACGGCATCGACGGAGACAGTGCGCCAGGGACCAGCGGCGCTGCGGACGGAGGACCGGACAAGGCTCGGAAAGGAGGCAGGAGAAAAACAGACCGACCGTGACTGCAGGTTCAGGCATGATCTTTTCTACTACGAGTTGAGCTTGGAAATAGGTAACGCACTAACGCAGTGATGCCATAAGAGATCCCGGTTCGATAGGGTTACAGTAGGTACCTACAGCCCGAGGGTGGATTGCCCGCAAGATTACTTTACGATTGCCCCTTCAATTCAATGGATAAAATCCCTATGCATCAGGCTGCACCTAACTGTACGTATACTTGCGACAGCTGTAGACTGCAATAAAGTGCGATATTTTCACAATAGGTATTTCAAATATGGGTTGTCACTTACCGTCGTAGTTAAAGCCGAATCCAGTGAAATTCATCTTCAGGTGTTTGAGAGAGATCTTCCCAATAATGACAAGCACGAGCTCATCTTAACAGACGAGACACTACACTCCACTCCACGCAGGGCAGTGGGCACCAACTAAGTTCCAAACAATCGTTATCCCACAGGCTGCACTACTTAGTAAGATTCTTCAAGATAACTAATAACACATTCACACACATTCCATTATTGACAACAACTGGACACAACAAAGCGACCGAGGCGCGAGATGAACATGATCAGCAGATTTTTCAACAATCGTTCGTCACGGCACGTGCAAATTTCCGCGTGGAATGCGTTCGGCGCGTGCCAGTCACGTGATCGCTCTCGTTCGCCTCCAGTTGGCGCGCGGCGGGATGGTGGGAGGCGGGGGCTGGGAGGGGGGGGGGAGGGCAAAAGAGAATCTCAGAATGGCAATGCTGTTTGCGGTTTGACGCAGGGGCCCGGGAACGATTTTCAAGTTGGGGGGGGGGGCGAGCCTAAAATGCCTGACATGATGCATATGAAACAGTGGCGTAGTTAGGGGTCTAAGGGGACACGTACCCCCCCCCCCCCCCATCGGGATAAAATGGACCCTCGGGTCCGAGGGGCCCTGCGGCGCCATTTGACCGCTGAGGGTTAACGATGGCCATATTTCTACTCAGCAGGGCCCCATGTGGCTCGTTAGAGCACCTCATGGGCCCTAAATAGCCACACTAAGATCTCCATAAGGGTCCCACGCCGGCTTCTGAGGGCCTCTTGCGGCTTTTAAGGGCACCTTGGTGGTCTCCAAAGGCCCGTTACTGACCTCTGAGAGGTCTTACCGGCCTATGAGGGGCCAGTTCTAGGGGCATTTCCCGCCTGTGATGGTCCCACACTTATTTTTCTGAGGGTCCCATAACGGCAACTGTGGGACCCTCGTCGGCGCCTTTGAGGACACCGGTGTCTCAAGGTTTTAGGGTTTCACACCCCCAACTCTGAGTGCCTACACCAGCGCCTATTCAAGCCCTATATTGGCGGCTCTGAGGACCCAACCAACACCTGTGCATCTAAAGGCCACCCACTGGTGACTTTTGAGGGCCCCACACCGGTGACTGAGGGCCCCACCGGCGTCTGACAGTACCATGCCGGTCTCTAAGGACCCCACAGGACTTCTCCTGCCGGCCTAAGGACCCCTTGCCGGTCGCTGAGATCCCCTGCCGGCTTGTAGAGAGTTCGCGTCAGCAGCTCTAAAGGCCCCACACCCGTCTGTAACGGCTCCACACCAGCGTCTATGAGGGCCCACAGCAACGCCTGTAAGGACCCTCATCGGCGCCTCTGAGAGAATCACACTAGCACCTCTGAGCGCCCACACCGGCACCTGCATGGCGGCCCCACACCGGTGCCTCTAAAGGCCCCTTACCGGCGGCTCTGAGGGCACTACGCCGGTGATTCTGAGGGTGCTACCGATAGCCGAAGGCACTTGACAAGCCCTTAGTGTCGCTGAGCTTTAATCCCATACCGGCCCTCCGAGGGCGCCACGTCAGTGCACTCATTGCTCCACACCCCTCCATCACACCCGGAACGGGTAAACTGTGTTATACCCATAGCAACGATTTTACCACCCTTGTACGTTATGTATTTCTAAAAGTTGACTCAAGCTGGTGCAGTATACAATCTGGCCTGCCAAATTTATGGCCACGGTCAGGCCCAAATCAAAGCGGGATGACAATAGCAGATGTTGTCAAATCGATACTGTATCAGCAGAAACCATTCAGATGGCAAGGAAAATGCCGTGTGTTGATGTGTAGATGTATAAAGGAAACAAGAAGGAAAGAAGTCCGGAAAAGGGAGAAAAGATCTTTTCTCGCTGCCTCAAAGTTGAGGGGGCGCCGCCCCCTCGGCTCCCAAGTTGGGGGGGCAAGCGCCCCCGCTGCCCCCCCTGTTCCCGGGTCTATGGACTTTGACGGGTTTCCCGTATCCTTAGATAAAAAGAAGTTTCTATGCCCCTATCGTTATAGAAAAGCAGGAACGGTATTCCATTATTCCGCCAGACCGTAATCGTACCTATACCTAACTATAAAAACGTCGTATTTTGAGCCTCGGATTTCACGACATGGGAAACAGAGATTTTTTAACATATTATTCAGAAGTCATTCTTGTCATGTTATGCAGCGCTATGGCCACCACCATCCAGCTTATGCAAACATATTGAAATAATAAAATAGAAAGTCACAGCCTCGCACAAGCACAATATACCTAACTCCAACGGTGAACGGAACATTCCCCTTCCCTGGCTGGCTCAGAACACAACTGTGATCCTCCAGTAGGGGAGAGTGGGGTAAGATGCCCAGGGTGGGAAAGACGCCCCACCCCCTCTAGCGACGAAACAAAGAATCGGACCTGGAAATTAATGTTCTTAGCGTAAAGCGGAACCCTGCCTTGTTAACGGCACAAAAAAAATTGCGAAGCTCAGTTGGGCAACGGCTGTCTGATGACTGCATGTTTTTTATTTGCTGCTTTCAAAAAATATGTTGGTGTCAGAACATTGTAAATATCCAAGAAGGTAAATAATTTTTGCGTCCCTTGCTATAGTCGTGATACATTAGCATGCGTGTACTGTGTCCCAAACAGTTTGTTTCATGGTGTAGTTTTATGGCTAACAAATTGTACTGATTTAATGTTACTTCGGTACCTTGGGGTAAGATGCCCCCTGTCCTGATGGGGAAAGACGCCCCCCTTGAAATCCGTAGGCTGTCCTTCAAACAGCCCGTCAAATCATTTATTACATACTTGTGATGTAGACAAAAGCCGAACTGGGACTATTGAGAGTCCAGTACGGTCGGGTGCTCCCCATGCCGGTCTCTCGACCCACATAGCGACTTTTTGGGCGGCATCTGACTCTGAGAGCCCTCATGACGGCCTCTGTGGGCCCAATTATTGGCTCCAGGGCCCATCACGACATCCTTTGAGGGCTCCCACGTTGTCCCCACGGGCCGCACTGGCATCGGAGGTCCCCACGATGGGCTCGAGGGCCCTCAAGCATCATGAAGACCTATAAGAGCCCCACAGTGGTCTCCGAACGCCACCACGGAGGCTTGTTTGGCCGCGCTGGACTATGATGGCCCTAACGATGACCTCTGAAGCCCCTTACGACTACTTTTGAGGGCCCTTATGATGACGTTTGGTGTCTATTGCAGGCTCGAAGGGACTACTGATTCGTTCAGGCGATTCACGTGCCCATTTATGTCACTTATAGTGCAGGGGGCATCTTTCCCAACGTCAGGGGGCGTCTTTCCCACCCTGTGGGGTAAGATGCCCCCTTTCACTTCTTCAGGAAAATGCTTAATAGCAAAAAAAGTAATAATATTTCAGGCACGAATGACGAAAGTGTGATATTTTTTGAGAAAAATGATGCCGGCTTCCGTTGAAACTCCAAGTTTTTGCTTTCCCATCGTCATTTTCGAATAATATATGACATAGTAAAACCCTGGGCATCTTTCCCCACTCTCCCCTAACTTGTTTACATAGGGTTTGTTGCAAGCTTATATCTCCGTCCGTGATGTTGCAAAAGATGCCAATGGTGCTTAACAATTGACAAATGATCCCCTCTAAATATTTGAAGACCACTGCATCGAAATTATCGCCAAATAAACGAGCTAGAGCCTCGTCAAAATGCTATATATGTAAATGCGACTAGTGCCATGGCTCGTGACTCGTGCCGGAAGCCCGGCGGTCACCTTTTTGTCCAGCTCGGTAACGACAGCTCGTTCACTGCGCTCGGTCCGCTGCCGCGGCGGCGTCCCGTTACTAGCGGCCCGCGCCGGCCGCCGGCCGCCCCAGGCGCCGTGCGAAGGAGGCGCGGCGCGAAACGACCGGGCCAGCGCCGCGTACCGACCCGGCAGCAGAAACGGTCCGGCCGCCGACCGGTGGAGGGGTGTTACGCGGCAGTGCGGCGGGAAGGAGTGTGTATGTGGGACGAACGGTGACCGGTCGGGGTCAGCAGTGGCACCCTGGGAACGTTCCAGCCGTGCGATGGCTGTCGGGCGGCCGGCAGTGCGCGCGCGCTGTCCAGACCGACGGACGTTGTTAGTGTTGGTGTTACTGCTCGTCGGATACATGGCGCTGTTTTCTCGACAGCCGACCGACCCGACAGTCGCCACCGCCCCGAACCCCGAGTTCCTGGCACTGTTTGACCTGGAGCCGGCCGAGTGGCCGAGTGGTGGCCTGTCCGCGCCGGTGGACTCGCCGTGCGCGGCCGCCGCCCAGCTGGCAGAGCTCACCGGCGGTCAGGGACCGCGGCTGGATGGCTGTGACTGTGACCCTGTCTGTGACGAGCACTGTGAGTGCGCCGGCCGCACCGAGGAGCAGTGTGTGGCCGACAGGACGGCCGACTCGCGCGCCGGGCCCCGCTGCGCGGAGGCCGAGCACCACGGCCCCGGACAGAGGCTCGTGTCGTACTCGCTGTTCCAGGCGGATGGCGGGGGAGCGACAACCGCTGCCGACAACCAGACGGACCGGGATGGATGGGGGTGGCTCCTCCAGGTGAGCACTACGCGGGGAGGGATGTCGAAACCGATCGGAACGGCTGGGGATGGCTTCGCGATCTCCACGGCAGAATTACACCGGGAAGGGGTATCTACTATCTACTATCTACAAACCGACCTGAACGGCTGGGGATGGCTTCCCCGGGGTCCGAATTACACGAGGAGGTGTAGTTAGGCCGATTGGGACGGCTGGGGATGGCTCCTACAGGCTACAGGTCAGCACCACAGGGAAGGGATTACGCGGGTGAGGATGGCTCCTCCAGGTCGGAATTACACGGGAAAGGGCGGAATTACACCTATCTATGGACGGACCGGGACAGCTAGGGATGACTCCTACAGGTCAGAATCACACCGGGGAGGGTTAGCTTCATCTACAGACCGACCGGGACGGCTGGGGTGGGGATGGCTCCTCCAGGTCAGTATTACCTACACCGGGGAGGGATAATTAGACCGACCGGGACGGCTGGGGATGGCTCCTCCAGATTAGTAACACCTTTTTTATCAAATAAAATGAATGTTTTCTGTGCTCAAAATCATATTCAGCAGACAATGGAGGTCAACGCAGCGGTGTGCATCCCGCTGCAAAGCGACTGAAGGTATAGGTGACCTCTTCCCTCCCCTATCCCGCATCCGTGCCAGGGCTATAACTTATAAGTGTGTCCCCCCCCCCTCGGTAGAGATTAGAAGTGTGACCCTCCTATCTCTTGCACAGGGTTTGAAGAGGAACGCGGCGCTGTCGATCCTGCTGTACCGCGGCTGGAGGATCCGCGTGTACCACGACACGGCGCCCGGCAGTGCGCGACGCGCCCGGCTCGCGGCCACAGCCTGTCAGTTCGACCACATCGACCTGTGCTTCGTCTCACCGGCGGATGGCGATAGTAAAGGTCAGTAGCGGCGCCGGCTTGGCGCCGGCTAGGGCGGTGTTTCACTGCCGCTGCTAGCGCACTGCTACCACGCTCCCAGCGCAGTTCGCGAGCTGACGTCATAGTCTGTGGTCGAGTCACTCAATGATGGAGCGTCCGAGTTTGTTGATGTCTCCATGGAAACCGAATTTGCCACGTAAGCTGGCAGCGTGCTAGCAGCGCCCGTGAGAAGGGGCCTAGGATTCGGCCGGGTCACAACCGTCACAGGGGAACCCGTGACCGTGACCTCGTGTTCAAAGTTAAGGTCAGCTGGAAAAGGACCGGCCGGATCACCATCACAGGTGTTTACGAGTATGTCTACCTAGCAGTGACCTCGTGCAGGTGAACAAGGTTTATTCAGCGGATCACAGCCGCCGTGGGTGGGGGTTATGGCCGTTTAACGAGGTAGTGAGACCGGCTCGCGAGTTACCTAAGTGTGGAACTACAAGTCGATTCTAGGGCTCTGATTGGTGACTTTGGTCGGGGGATGACGCTTATAGCATGACGTCACTCGCGTACTTGGCCAGACCAACGGCGCGGCGCAGGCGCGCCGAGCCAACCCAGAGGCTCTCAAACTCAATTGTACAGATCCTGCGCATTGAATGGCGAAACTTCGGCGAGTTCGCTTGAGTTTGAAAGCCCCTGCCAGAGAACTGGAGACGGCCGGAGTATTTGCTGGACAGTGGGCAGCGCAGATGGCGATTGACGGTGCCAAAAAGATGATAGGGAAAAAGGGGTTGAGACTTGAGCAGTGAATTATAAGCCTGTTGCATAGCTGAGTGGTAAATTGTAAAATACTTAAGGTGTAAGGAGATGCAGTGTAGTTTAGCCGACTCAGGGGAATTCTGCCGAGTTATGTAAGGCGGAAGGGTCGCAACTCGCAAGTCGTTTGTTTACATGATTGCCTGATTAAAATGTAAAGCGTACCTAATGTTTAGTTGATAATACAGCGAGGTTGGGCATCTGCTCAATCCATTTCTTCTCTGCAATAGTGCACTCGCCACTGTAATTTATTGTAAGAGGCACTGGGCTGCGCCGCCTGTTAATTATTCCGAAACCACCAGTGAATTGTTACAGTCACTCCGACAACAATACGAATCGTTCAGTCGTGCGCTGGGGGTCCGCCAAGTTTGAGTGTGCTGCAGAATGCAGACTGGACCGCCGAGAATATAACACTTCCGTCTCCCTGGGCGAGCGGCGCATTGGAGCCGAAGGAAACTGCTTCAGTTTCTTTGTGGGGAAGATACCCATGTTTGAAAATTATGTTCTGGAATGATGCGATAAGGAAAAGGACGGTTTCTTGAATTGAGGGCTGTGGAGAAGAAGCAGATTTTCTCAATTTGCTACCCGATACAACGCGAAAAGACGCAAATGTTGCACATTGGGCTTAATAAGTCTAATAAAAGATAAGGGACTTCGTGAATCATGCCTAACTGACCGCGACCCAGTTATTTGCCACTGCAGGTAGGTACACTCGGGGGCAGATTGATGTTCTACAACTCTTTATCCACCGGGTTCCTATGGCTCAGCATTGGCAGCAGCCGCCTGGTACCGGTAGACTGTGCCGCTTCACTAACTTGACAAGCGGCACAGCCTACCCACACCGTATGCCACCGGTCTGGGTCGGTGGCTGGAAGGCGATGTGGGCCGCCTGTGACGTCAGCGCAGCGGTGAGGGCCGAGCCCGGAGGCATGGCTCGGGTCGGCGCGGCGTGGCGGCTGGCGAGGGCTGGGGAGTGCGGTGCAGGGTGGGAGCACGGACCATCGCGCGGCTGAGCGAGTGTAGCTAACTTTCGCGTCTCAAGGCGCTAATTATTCTAACTAACAATTGTGCTAAAGCAGTTGTTAAAATGTCCTATCCCCAAGACAGCGCCCATCATCATACTTGCCATGCACATTACGGCACACTTAAACGTAGCATTGGGACAGCCGATAAAATTTATATCACACGTGCATCGAGTTGCGGAGCTACATTGTTTTTTAACAGATAAGTATTAAGGCCTTGATTGAGCTATTTGGTGTCTATTATTTCGCACAGCAATCGTCCAGACACGTGGGAACTGGGGTTTTTGGATAGCGCGGCGTCCCAACTTTAAGCAACTCTTACTGTTCCTCTAATGTGTGGTCGCAGCCACCAATAGCCGTTCCATCTAAAAACAAATAAGTCACGCACCTGGGACGGTTCGAACCGGGTTTCTCCAACCGGTCACCCTACGACGCTAGCGTGTATCCACTGAGCTGCCGAAACCAGCGACCATGTGCCGCGGTCAAACGCGATCAAATGTCACAATACTGTCATTGGCGGTCAGCGGGTGAATGTCATTTTGTTTTGTGCAGACGAGGACCATTCTCGGTAGCTCAGTGGATGAAAGCTCGTTTCGGGAATTGGCCGGTGGGAGAAGCCCGGTTCGAACCCCCCTGAGTGGCCGGCTTTTTGGCTCCTAGTTGGAACGGTTTGCTATTGGGGGCTGCGACCACATATAAGAGCAACAGTAATAATCGCTTTAAATTGGGGCGTTGACTGCGGCGCTACTCATAACCCTCAGTTCCCACGTCTCTGGACGATTGCCGTACGAAACAATAGACACCAATTTGCTCAATCAAGGTCTTAATACTAATATGCTATACAAAATATAGCTCCGCACCTCGATGCACGAGTGACATAAGTTCTATCGGCTGTCCTATTGCCACGCTTAAGTGTGTGGTAATGTGCATTGCAAGTATGATGATAGGCGCTGTCTTGGGGATAGGACATTTTAACAACTGTTTTAGCACAATTGTTAGGTAGAATAATTGGCGCCTTGAGACGCGAAAGTTAACTACACTCGCTCAGCCGCGCGATGTCCGTGCTCCCACCCCACCTCACTCCCCAGCCCTCGCCAGCCGCCGCGCCGCGCCGACCCGAGCCATGCCTCCGGGCTCGGCCCTCACCGCTACGCTGACGTCACAGGCGGCCCACATCGCCTTCCAGCCACCGACCCAGACCGGTGTCATACGGGTGGGTAGGCTGTGCCGCTTGACAAGTAAGTGAAGCGGCACAGTCTACCGGTACCAGGCGGCTGCTGCCAATGCTGAGCCATAGGAACCCGGTGGATAAAGAGTTGTGGAACATCAATCTGCCCCCGAGTGTACTAGGTAGGTAGATACTCATTTGTAAACAGAGCGTTCCGCCAACCCTCGCCAGAAATTCAATCAGCAGTTGCTTATCTTAAAACGTTTGAGTGCACCTAACAACCTTTAAAAATGACGTCCTCCCTTTCAATGGTTCGTTCGAAGACACAAAGCCAGAATCAGCCAAGCAATATCGGAATCCATTGCGCAGTGTGTCGACTGTCGGATGTGCCCATCCACATAGCATAGCACACACTGCTAAATGCAGGTACGCTCACCTACACATTAGGTATTCGAAGGACTTGATAGCTCATACACATGGAAGAAACGCATGAAATGTGATTAATAGCTGCAGCAGAAGTTTGGCGTCCGATGACTCTTCGCCAAGTTAAGACCATGCCAAAATCTCGGCCAGTCTCCCGCCGCGCCGGCACTGGCCGTGGTGTGACGTCATCCGGCCGGCTGGGCGCTGGGTAGTTCCACACTTAGGTAACTCGCGACCGGCTCATGCTACCATGTGTTTGTCTAACGGTGTTACGGCCAGTCAGTCACCGTGAGGTTACGGCCGGCTGACACGGGAGTGACATTGGTTGGGTCACCGTCAGACAAACCATGAACACATCCACTTGCGCGAGGTTACAATCGGTGGTAAAATATAATTAAGTCGTTCGTATGCGTTCGAGCATGTTGAAGCATCGTATACGTAAACGTGTTTAGATTAGGAATTAGGATACAGGCTGCAGAGCTCATCAAGCAGTTGCAGATCTAACAATTTTTCCGTGTCTCTCCCTCAGGAGTATACCGCGGGGCGCTGTGGCGGTTCCTGCCACTCTCCGACCCGCTGGTGGATACATTCGTCAGCCGGGACCTGGACTCTCGTATCTCCAACCGGGAGGCGGCCGCCGTCCACCAGTGGCTCGCCTCCAACCGAACCTTCCACATCATGAGGGACCACTGGGACCATTTGGTGAGTGAGACCACAGGCTTCCGGCGGCTCCGGCCAAGCGCCGACATACCGGGGAAAGCGACCCGATTCCTTTATCTCCGACAACGCCATTTCGTTACGCACATTTTCCAGCTTCAGGTTCGGTCTCATCTGATTGTTATAGCCAGTGATTTACGGGAGGAAAGTACAAGCGGTACACATTTCAAGTTTCACTCTCCGTGAATTGGTTTTGGGAAACTTCAAGCTTCCATTAGAAACTTTTGATAATGGCATCAGAGAACAGCATCATTCGATTGCGCCCTGAGCCTTAGAGAGCATTGAGAGTCTTGGACTATCATATAAGTCGACACATTTTAGCTAACGTCTCGTACTGACATCGAAGTCGGGTGAAAACAGTGGTCTCAAATGACAAATCCATTGGTACAAAACCAAACTGGGAAAGACGAGTGAGCTACCCGCTATATCCATGGCTCCTCGGCAGGAGACAAGTCCCTTTTGCCGTATCCAAGTTACCTTCACTGAAGTAATAATGTCATCAACGCATAAAACGTAGAGAGGCTGTCTGATACAGAGAAGCATGGCGACAGGAGCCCACCGATTCACGAATTTGGCAGTCCACATCAATGACGAGAGGTTAGTGCACTCGGATTACGCAGACGCAGAGCGCATTGGAAATATAATTCCCAGATCAACGTATTTGTGTGTTACATGGTAGAGAATAGAGATTATGACCAGCCCGGCGGACAGCCCGCTCACCATCCCCTATTGTCTCGCTAACCCGTTACTGTCCCTCTACCTCACAGATCACCGTGCCGGGCGGCCTGTGGGGCGCGCGGCCGGCGCTGCGCCGCCAGCTGGCCGACAAGCTCGGCACCCAGCTCAACAAGTGGATGGCACACCCGGGCCATAAGAACTGGGACCAGCGAGCGCTTCATTCGGTCGTCTGGTTTCACGCTGCAGGTCAGGGACAGCTCGTGTAGTGTAGCTGTCTGTCATGTCTGCGATGTCGGATATACCGTTCGTGTCCTGGCTGGAAAGTCACGGTGTCAGTCTGTGTGTAACCGTGACCATTCGTGATCGCACCGTGTCCTTCCGTGACCGTCCCCGCCGTGAGCACGTCCACTATGCGTATCCATCAATGGTATTCGTGACCATGCCGTGACCGTCCCTGTCCATGCCGTGACCGTACACACTGTCCGTGATCGTGTCTTGTCAGTACCGTGACCGTGCCGTGACCACCCGTGACCGTGCCCATCTCCGTGTGTCGCCAGTGGACTCTGTGCAGCACGACAGCTACACCTGCCAGCGGTTCCCGGGCTACACGGTTCCGTTCCCGACTCGGCGGCGTAACGACACCACCCAGTACCTGGGTCAGGTGATACGGCCTCCCGAGGGGTCCGGCGCCCCCGCACCGGCCGAGAAACTGCTCAAATGTCCGCCCCAGTGCCGGCCGCGCGAGCACCAGGACTGGGAGTACTGCTGAGTCAGTGCAGAGGGGGGCCGAGTCACTGAGAGGCTGTCGAGTCATCGCGGGTACTGCCGGGATACTGAGACCGTGGAACTGTGTGTGTGGCACTGCCGTGACCGCAGACAGCGCCACAGGAAGGCGCAGGTAAGCGCAGAGCGAATACGGGGGAACTCATTCACATGCCGAAGGTGGGGAGAGGAACAGAAGGCCAGGATGCACGGTGAGACGCTTCGGTGACACGCAAAATTGATATATCGAGCACAAACGAAGTGCAAGAAGCCACGGGAACGAGAAGAGAAACATGTCGAATACGATACGAAAAACATCGTATCTAAAAATTTTAAATACTCAGGGACTGTGTACCTCAAAGATAGAAACAGCATCCATGACTCGCTATTGTAAACGACCACGTAAAAGATATATTGCTTAAGCTGCCCCTCCTCGGCATGTGCTTATTATTCTGCCGCTCTTCATCAGAAGCATTACAATGGGACGCCCTGCCTGAACTGTCAGTCCACAGAGGGACGCCACTGCCTTCCAATGTATCAGTGACCTCTTTCGAAAATAGGACGACATAACCACAGATAAAACCGGACGACACAGAACCGTTATCCGACAGAGCCGCCTAATAGCTCAGCCCGTCCGAGTCATGGGACCTCTATGATAATTCGGTTCCAGGGATATCGGGTAGTGCCTTATTCATATTCTGGATAGCGGAGCGAATGGTCTGGCCTATAGTCTCGGATGGTCGGTACGAATGATAAAATTCGTACACTGGGTGGAAGAAATATGGCAGTCCGGAGAACCAGTCGTCGTTCTCAATTCAATCGTATATTTGTAATGACACATATTTACGAATGCATATTTCTTACCAGGGTACTGCAACCCATTTTCTTGATGTTTTAATTGGGAGGCTCAGTGCCAGGGATTCAGTGTGCAAAGTTGAATCGACATTGTCGAATGGCATTATCGCTAAAGTTTGTATAATCAAAAGCCAGCTTTGATAACAAATGGTACGCGAGAGCACGGTTGTGATGTTTTGATGATGACTCCGTTTGCCATTTCGCCAGTTTTTTTTTATGTTACTTCAAATCATTTCGTTACGCATGATTTCGTCCTACGTGTATTTTCCCCGACTCAGTGTACAGCCCTCTGCAAACTGCGTGGTAGGAATTCTTTTTTCGACAAAAACGAGAATAATGCGAATACTATGCTATCGGTCATTCGCAAATCGTAACAGCAATACGCGCGAGACTCCGCACCTTAGATTGGCATAATCACCGTATTCATTTTCCATCTAGTTCGGCAACAAAACCCAGAAGTTTATATTTGCCCCCAAAACAAACTTTTGCATTTTGTTGCCACAGAAGGCGTATACTTTGTTTAGTGATACACCTAATCGAAGAAGTGGAGCATGGCGCATCTATTTGCAGTGAGTTCTGACCGACTGATAGCATAGCCTCTGAGTTATTATCGGTTTTGTCGAAAAAAGAATACCTACCACGCAGTCGCAGTCTGCTGAGGGCTGTACATACATACCAAGGTGTTTAGTGAAGCGATACAATGTCTGATGAGATGGTGTTTTCGTGCACAATAAAGGGTTCAAAGTCCTTTCATTGCAAATTGTTCACATGTAGTGTCGCGAGGCAGGTGGTAGGAATTAATCCTAAAACACTTGTTGGTTTGGTGACAATGAATGTATTCCCCCAAAAGCACTAAAATGACAAAAACAATACTAGGCACCCCACTATCTCACAAGCAGAAGGAAACCTGAATCATTAAACCCAAAGTACATTTGTAGAATGAACCAAATTGGAAATAATTATAATCGTGAAGGGCAGTGTCCATGAAAATCGGGCAAATCAAACCACTACATACACGTCCCGTGTAAGTAGACTGGGCGAAGCACAAGCGTCAACCGGATCCCACCCCACCGTGCTGCTTAGGAGATCAGCCGACGCGTCCCCAATGACCCGACAAACAGTCGCCGGACCACCGGCACTGGGCACAGACCGCCCGCCCACCTGGTGCCGACACTGGTGACGCTTAGTACCCGCCTCCCATGCGCGGACCGTAGCCGCCACGCGGGCCCCCGAAGCCTCCGCGAGGGCCGCCAAAGCCTCGCGGGCCACCGCGCATGCGCGGTCGGTATCCGCCGTGGTGTCCGAACATGGAGTTAAAGGATCCGGCGCGGCCGCCGCCTGGGGATCAGACAACCGGTCAGCGTCCACAGTTCGTGGGTGGATCTCAGCGCCACTGACCCGTCAACACAACAGACTGTCAAAACTCACCTCAACCGTCACCACGACAACAGGAAATGGGGCCGCTAGCTTTCATAGCTCATCGGTCATGGATCTGCTGTTTTGGCAGATTTTGTGGACATTAAACTACATACTCTTTAAGAAAGTCATACTTCGTAACGGAACGAGCAATTGGTTTCATTCCGCCAGGCGATTTTATTTTCACCGCCATGTGTTTTTATTTTCATAAGTTCCAGTTGACTAGCTGCCATGTCCCCACTAGCCTACCATAGCTACACCGCAGTTCGGTTTGCAGTTGGCTCGGTCAGTCGCTGCTCACCTGCGAAGGGCGGCGGTCCGCGCGGCGGCGGCGGACCGTGGAAGGGCCGCTTGCTGCCGTGGCCGGGAGGCGGCGGCAGCGGGGCCATCCCGTATCGGGCGGCGTTCAGCTGGCACAGCTGGCGCACACACGCCACGATGGCCGCGTCGTTCTCGCTCGGCTGGCTCAGCGACTCGGGGTCGGTGCACGCGTGCACGAGCAGCTGCTCTAGGGCGGGCCGCAGCAGCACCACGCGCGCCGCCAGCTCGGCCGGCATGGCCAGGTTGAGCCAGCCATCCAGGCGCACCACCTCCTTGATGACCTCAACGCGGCGCGAGGCGAAGAGCAGCAGGTGCAGCGGCGTCACCATCGTCATCTGCTTGCAGCTGACGGCGCGCGTCCGGATCTTCTCACCAAACACGAAGAACGGCGAGGGGAACGTCACCTCGAACTTGTTGCAGTTGACCGACGACTTGTGCACCAGCGCCATCTTCGACTCCATCGTCAGCACCTGGACGGAGAGGGTCATATTCAGGTCACTGGATCCATAGTAGGGTCACATTCACGTCACTTAATGCATAGTTCATGGGCTAATGGCGCCTGGGAATACAACTACGACACTGCAATGCAAACCCGAGCCCGCATCTCACGCAGGCACCTGGCACAGATTACTTTCAAAATAATCGGTACTGCCAAAAAACAAAGCATCAGTGACCAACCAAACATGCCAATTAATGGTCTCACTCAGTAACCACCCAGACATATCAACCAATTACTGGTCTGACTGCCTCGCCGGCCGGCCGACCCGCACGCACCTTGCGCTTCTCCTTGTGGTAGCAGACGTTGGGGTAGGTGCCGGCCGCCAGGAGCGCGGCCAGCGTGTCCAGACCGGTGTCGGGCCCGTTGAAGTCCATCGGCACGGGCTGCAGGCACTGCTCGGGAAAACCGGCCGAGACCAGCAGCTGCTTCAGCTGGTTCTTGGCCTCGGACATCACGCGCAGCGTGGGCATCGACAGCATCTGGTTGTCGCAGAACTGGATCTCGGCCTGCTCGCCGCCCTCGCGGGCGTTCTCCCACGCCTGGAGGACAGGCGGATGGGGGTGATAGTTAGTTCCCAGATTCAGAACAATGAGCGGGTACCTGTACACAGATCGAAAATGACCAACGGGATGCAAAATGCCCTATGATCGACACCACGCATCAATGACTGATGAGTCAGCCTAGATCTTCTGGTGCACCAACCAGATGATTTCACCAGTGACCAGGTCGTTGGAGTAGCAAACCGCACAGCAGCTCCCCACCCTCAGGTCACCGCGGCATTGTCCCCTTCTCCCCGGCCGGCGCGCTCACCTGAAACGCGTTCAGCGTGGCCAGGTGGTCGGAGCACCTGTTGCCGGCGAACCGGCGCTGCTGATAGGTGACGCGCCGCTGCTCTGAGCCCAGTGCCGACAGAAACACGTCGCCGCCGTCCGACTGAGCGGCCACCGTGCACGCGGCGTCGGCCAGACCGAAACAGGAGGCCAGCACCAGCATCCGGCCCAGGCGGGGCTCGACCGGCAGGCGCGCCAGCAGCCGTCCCAGCGGCGTCAGCTCGTTCTGGGAGTCCAGGCAGCGCATGTCGCGCAGCAGAAACTCGGCCTCGATGACGGCGTCGATCGGCGGCGCCTGCACCGCCTGGTAACAGAGACACGTACTGCGTCAAAACTAGGGAAACTGATGAACCGCAGAGTTAACAGTTGGCACTTATACAGACGGATCACCAAGCAGTCAATGGATCAGACATCGTTTGGACCCACACAGGTGATAAAACTCAAAGGTGCTTTGATCCTAGACAGACATTCACCGATATTTATAGCATGAAACGTAATTAGCACCCAAGGCATTACATCAGACTGTCTACCCCTTCCATCGCTCCCTCCACCCCTCTGATCGCGGTGCATACCTTGGAGAGGAAGTCGCCAACACCCCCCAGCCGGAGCAGTTTGATGGAGAGCGCCACCTCGTGCAGTGGAGTGCGGAACATCTCCGGCGTAACGTGCTCCTCCAGCTGCTCAAACCGGGCACGGCTGCAGAGGTGGAAGCAGTAGCCGGGCCGGACGCGACCGGCGCGGCCCCGCCGCTGCTCCAGGTTTGTCCGAGACGCCCACACCGTGGCGTAGTTGGTCATGTTGTTGTGCGAGGTGAACATCTTCATCTTGGCCTTGCTGGAGTCGATGACGAACACCACGTCGTTGATGGTGATGGATGTCTCGGCGATGTTGGTCGACAGGATGATCTGTGAAGAAGGCGGGATTATTGGTCGGGTCATCATAGGGATTTGTTAGAACCACAGTCGTATTACAGAGACGATTGAAAGGGCCGTGTTTCCCAGCATACACAGAATATTATCAGGTAAGCACATTTTGCTCAGGCACAAATCAAAGCGTAACCGTATCGTTGTCAGGTCTCAAATCTACGTTAAGTGTATGCACCATGAATCAGAATCAGAGGCGGGTCCGTAGTCCGCACCATCAATGTCAGTCTCAGTACCAGCTGTATGACGGGTGGGTACAACACCGTGGTGTCACGCTGAGTACTGGCGGCAGTTTTGAGTGGAGAGTGGCAGAGTCAATATATCGCGCCGGCTTTACCGCGCTGTTTTATTCTTTTTGCTAAAAGGCAAAACAATGTCTGGGAGACGTCGTAAGCCACATGTCGCATGCAGATAAATTTAATCCGTCCTGACGGTACCCCATTAACCGGCCGAGTCGGGGGGATGGGCGTACCTTAGTCACGTGCTCCGGCACGGGGTCAAACACTCGCCGCTGGTCCTCCCGCGGCAGCTGGGAGTGCAGTGGCAGCACCAGATAGTCGGGACCGCCTACGGCAGTCGGATGACACCGGTCAGGACCAAGAACAGCGTCGTAGAGACAAGATCAAAACAAGGTGAAGCGGGCGCGAAGTAGGACGAGGAGCAGACACGTAGAAATCCGAGCACCCGCTACATAGCACCATCGCCCTACACCATGCCTTTACCCTGCCTCCCAACAGTTTAACAGTGCCTACCAACGATGGGATTTTGCAGCTGAAGATGCCCCTACCCTGCCTCCTCATGGTAACAACACTACTCAAGATGGGACTCCGTTGAACGTGCTCCTCCCCTGCCTTCTCACTGTACCACCACCTACCGAATGTGGAGCTCTGCTGGAGGTGTCTGAGCAGGGCGAAGATCAGGTTCCAGCCGGGCAGGAAGATAAGCACGGCGCCCGGTGTGCCCGTGTCCTTGCAGTAGCGCAGGATCGCCTCGATCAGCTCGAAGCTGGTCTCCCTCTCGGAGAGCTGACTCATCGCCGCCTGGGTGGCCGGCGAGTACTGGCGAGGGTCGACCACCTGCGGGCGGAGCGAAGGTCAGCGGTCAGGCAGGCAATCAACGAGTTCGGCTCAGACAACAGTAGGGGGAATAAGCCACGGTAAAACAAGGTGCAATAGTCAAACACCTGACACAGAGTGAGCCTAATTCCAATCCGTCCAATTCGCACGCCGTCCGTACCTTGTTCAGGTTTTGGAGGCGGGTCCAGGGTCCGTACCTTGTTGAGGTTCTTGGAGGCGGGTCCGTCGTCTCCGTCCGCCAGTCCGCCGTCATCGTCATCATCCCGCTTTCGTTTTCTGGTGTCGGGTACCGGTACAAACTTACACAGCTCCACGCAGTCCTCCAGGAAATACTCTGTCACGGAGAAAGCACAGATACTCAGCAACACTGTAACTCAGAGACACTGCGACACTCAAACATTGACGCACTACAGCGACAAGGACTGAAATGGTTCATTGAACTCCATAGCATAAACTAAGAAAAAAATCACAACATAATCAGCATACATGGTCAATCATCTGAAGTGTTTGCACATCAAGCAAAAATTTGAATATAACTAGTTCGGTACTCTGGCCTTTTCATAGACCATTGGCACATGTTTCAGGCCAATAATGCGATACATATTTACACTGGTAACGGCGTTGGCGGTGAGCTTCGGATCTCTGACAGGTTGTGCCATGAAGGTGGGAGGGGGGGGCGGGGAGTAGGGGAAGCTGAGCTCTGAGGGGAGTGGGGTCTGACTTCTGACGGGTGGCCTCGATGGATGGGTGGTTTGAATTCTAACTTTCGATAGGGCATTATCCTAATTGAAGTGCGCTCTGACCTTTGACGGGGTAGGTGCGGCCGGACACCTCGATGACCGGACAGCCGCCGAAGTAGTCGGTGAACAGGGTGGTGTCGATGGTGGCCGACATCAGGATCAGACGCAGGTCCGGGTACTGGCGAATCTGCGGATATAAGGGATAGATACCGTGACGTCTGGTCAGGGAGCACGGCGGAGATATTGCCACGATCAGGCGTAGATGAGTAGCAATATGACCGAGCGCAGCTGATCGGCGATAGATACAGCCGAAACACTAACATTTGAAGCATGTTGTCATTGAGCAGGGATGACCATCTGAACCAGGGGACCAAGAATGCGTCTATTGGAGGAAAGACACTTCACCCAGCCATAGATGAGTAGGTACTTTAAGCGAAGCTTAATAAGGCAGGGGTATCAATTTCATGGCATGATATTAGCTGCTGCTATGATTCAAAAGGCGTGCATTTTCCGTGGAGCTGGCAGGCAGCGGAGAGCACACGATACTGACCATATCTCGCAGCACGACCAGGATGAAGTCCGAGTTGATGTCCCGCTCGTGGATCTCGTCCACGATGACGTGGGAGATGCCGCGCAGGCCCGCCTCCAGCTTACGGAGCAGCACGCCTGACGGTCAGCGTAACGTCAGACAGACAGTGGGACAGAATATAAGAAAGGGAAGGGGCAGTCGAGCGGAGGATAAACATAAAATAAACATCTATTGCCGCCTCTTTCTAAAACCCCAATCCATGAGCCATCGCCCGGTAGTTAAACAATGGTAGCCTACCCCGCAGTCCATCCCGCCATCCCACCCAGACTGACCGACGGTGCAGAATAGTATGGATCCGTAGGGCCGCGGCAGCGCCGACTCGAAGCGCACGCTGTACCCCACCGCCTGGCCGAGCGGCTGGTTACGTTCCTGACAGATACGATCTGCCACCGAGACGGCCGAGATGCGCCGCGGCTGGGTGACGACAATGTTGCAGTGGCCACCCTGGCCCGACTGGATGTGCTCGTCCAGGATGTACTGGCACACCTGCGGCAGCGGAATCAGGTCATGTGTCGGAAGCGTGCGCTGGTGACAGTAGGGCAGGTTACTTGTCGACAGTGCTGGCAGTACGAAAAGGCATTGACGCCGGGACGGGTCACTAAAGACTGAGTGGCATGTCCAGGGCGAAGCCAGCTGCGGTCGCCACCCTTCCCAATCCAAATCCAATTTGACGCCGCTAGAAATTTCTTCAACCGACTATCTCAGCCCCAACACTCCCTTTCCTTCCAGTCTGCCAGTCACCTGCGTTCACCGTCCGCTCGTACCATGAGTGTGTCCCTCCATCCCACTTTACTGTCTGCCTATCCGATGTCCATCCCATCCACCGCCCACCCCTCCGTCCTAACCTGCGTGGTCTTTCCGCAGCCGGTGACGCCGCGTATCATACACCATATCACCCTATCCAGTCACTGTTCCTCTCCCGTACTCACCTGCGTGGTTTTTCCGCAGCCAGTGGCGCCTCGGATCACCACCACCGGGTTGTTGTTGATGGTGTGCAGGATGTGCTCCCTGGTCTCGAACACGGGCAGCTTCTGGCGCTCCTCCACCATCTTCTGTAGCTGCGTGTCCTCCTTCAGCTGGTCCTGGTAGCTGCGACACAGGTCCTCCGAAATGGCGTCCAGCGTGGCCTGCCGAGGGATGGCCAGTGATAAGTGATGATGATGGAACCAACAAACATTCATCAGTCCTTACACAAAGTATCCAGCAGTACAACAGACAGAAACACCTGACATTACTCCCTCGTCTGAGACCTATCAGAGCCGCATCACTATAGTAGCACAGGAAAAGTTGTTTATTAATTTTTTCGCCGTGTTTTATTCACTTGCTTTTATGGCTTTGCATTAAGTCTTGATCATAAAAGTCATGTTACGGAGATCATACGAAATAAATAAACGAATGAATGAATGAATGAAGGAATAAATAAATGAATGAATGAATGAATGAGTGAATCAATGAAAAAGCAGCCGTTCAAGCCCCTTTCCGCCGGTCGCCGCGTCCCAGCACCCTACTCACCGTGGCCAGGGGTCCCTCGTCGATGTTACAGGCCGTCCAGGGGTTCCAGTTGGGCTGCGGGGGCGACCAGGAGACGACGCCTGCCGGCTGCGGGTGCGCGGCCGCCGTGAACTCGGCCAGGCGAGTGTCGGTTACGAGAGAGACCGGCTCGTCGGTGGTGGACTCCTGCCGGCGGGGAGAAGGGTCCAGTGACACTCCTGATTGAGGTTGCGTTGTGACCGACAGGGCGAGGGGTGAAAGGGTGCAGAACAGTGGGACAACACAGCATACATAATAGCCCCCATGAGTTATAATAAGTAATGTCTCGGACACCAAACCATGTGAAATCACTATTTCAGTACCATTTCATCCCGTGCTACACTAACACCAATCCTGAGCACTTGAGCAGGAAAGGCAAACTAAAGCCACAATATTGGCAAATTTAAACACAAAGTAGCCTCAAGTAGTTTTTCATAAAGCATCTGCTTGGAACCGCGGTCGTCAATGAAATAGTGTGTGATCCCCTGCCTCGTCGTCCTGACTGAATTTTCACCGGCGGACGACTGTGATTGTCGGACAATGGGCGGCACACCACACTACGCCACTGACCAGTTTGGATGGCGGCTTCAGTCCCAGTTTGTCCAGCAGCTTGTCAAGCTGCTCGCTAAGCTCTGGCGACACGGCCACAGGATAGGCCGGCATCTCCTCGGATCGCTCCTTCTTCAGGGTGCCCGAGAACGGCTCGATGACACCCAGGTGAAACAGCTGACGCACCAGAGACAGCGCGCACGCCTTGGACGCCGCCTGACGGACGGAGGGGGAGGAAGGGGGGGGGGGGGTCACAGGGTGAAGGGGACAACGAGCGGGCTGAACGAGGGGGACGGGCATGATAGTGGTCGGTCTGAAGTATTGTTAAAAGTGGTTGCACAAAACATACACAGAACACGGATAAAAATGAGCAAGATATCAGCGTCGTCCAAATAGTTGGAAAGAAGGGACGGATGCGGCACCTGTTTGTTGGATCCTTGTTCGCGGGCATGGATGTTCCGTCCCAGCTCTCGCACATAGAAGCCCATCTCAGCCACGAAGCTCCTGGAAAAGCAAGGGATCCATATAACACCACCTTCAATGCAGTCAAAGGGCACGAAGAAAAATCAAATGAACAGGCGCTTCAAGGAATTTAAAGATGACAGTTAGTTATGCTTCCGAATCAGAACAGTAAGCAAAAGGGGAAAAAGGACGATAAGCATTGTCTAACACAGACCAATGATCAGCAAAAAACAATTAGAGCCATAGCACAGCCTCGCTCAGAAGGTGGTCAGGGTCTAAAGAGGGTTGATCAGCAGGCACCGATCCGATCAACTCACCGTTAGCGCTCGACGCCAGGGACGGGGGCGCGTCGCCCGGGAGTCGGCCGTCCGTCCGGTCAAGTCGGTCACAGGTCTGTAACGGCGCCGCGCGGGCCCGGTCAGCGGAGCCGGCCGCGGGCCACGCGCGGCGCCTCCAGTGTAGCCGGTCGGCGGCCGACGGCGGCGGCCGGTCCGAGCCACCGGCCGCCGCCGCCGGCCAGCCGCCGCGGGGAGAGCAGAGAGCGGAGATGGAGACCGGACGGACGGCCGCTCCGTGACGGGCTACTGAGAGACCGGAGCGGCCGGGTGGTGACCGGTGCGATCACCACCCGACGCGCACTTAACACACAGGGTCCGGCGAGAGAGCCGTCCGATCGGCTCGGGCGCCGGCGCACATACTGACCAGTCGCCGGCTGGGACACGTGCCGCCACAGGCATGATGTCCAGCAGGATCAAGTACACAACAAAAACCACTACCGATACTGGAACTGAGTATAAATAGTCTTCTGCGCTCTCTTCTCTTCCTTCTTATACGAAAATATGCGCAAAATAGAAACAATTGGATTTGCGAAAACGGCATTGAATGAAAAAAGGAAACGTCAAATATTGCAACGAAACAATGCATCTTATCTCCGTGAACTTTACTACAAATTGATTATAATAGAAAGGAAATAAACACCACTGATGGGATAGCGTGCATTTGCACCAGTCTAAGTGCGGGGAGCACTGACCTGTTGTGATCAGGCCCCACTTGAGAATACTTGTAGTCGGCTTGAAGCCGACTGCTCTGCAGGAACTGGTGCAGCTTGGACTTGGCATTCTCCATACTCCAGTTGCCGTGGATGCTGGCGTTGATATCCACATCCTCTTGCTGAGCAGCGTGTAACAGCGGGAGAAGTCAGCAGAGTTTATTGAGGCATAACATTCATACTGTACAAACGATTGACTGTCGAAAAGGTTACGGCCAATACGAGGTTACCGTGCGTCGATGCTTGTAAACTAAACTGAATTCAGTGTAAAACGTGACTGCACTATGCATTACAAACTGCTAATGATAAGTTTCAAAAAGAAGACCTGCACAAACAAGCGGAGAAGGAAACAGACATACCCCTTCCACTTCCTTCTCGCTCATGGCGGCGATCTTGTCCAGGTATGTGGAGTCTGGAGCAGAATTGATGGGCCTGGAATCAAACATCAAATTACAATACCTTTCGAAAAAAGGAGATCACTCAGCTTGTTGAATTATTCTCCTAACAGCTCGGGCATCCTCCGCGACCGCACCGGCGGACGCATCCACGACACGTCGGTCTGGCCCACTCACTTGTACACGTTGCCCTGTTCGTGCAGCTGCGGCACGGGCTGCATCGGCGGCGCGGCATACCCGCCAGCCTGGGCGTTGCTCGAGGCCTGTCCGCCGCCCTGCCAGAGGAGCGTGTGTTAGCGGGACACCGTGCTTTCCGGGAGCCGGCATAGGGATTGATTTCCGGTGGGTCACAACACCCGGTGAGCAACAGTGATCCAAACGGTGGTGAATCAGAAAAAGAATGACCGGCCCGCCAAAACATGATATAGCTTCTGACAAGAACGCAATGCGATTACTTAACCAATGATAATCTTACAAAAAAGTAATGTCGACTGAAATTCTAGAGGTAAGCAACATTACATATCAAATTAACATTAATGTAGTGACACAAGGGCAAACCTTTACCTCTCCTGGTACATCAGATGGCTTGATCTCGCCCTTGCGGACGAGGTACTGAATGAAATCCTTGGCGGCATTGGTCTGGGCGTCCTTTTTGTTGGTGGAGTTGCCAACGGCCGTGTAGGGGTAGCCGCTGACCCTCAGTTCGCAGAGAAAACGCTGCCTGTGCGACGGACCTGTCCACAGGCCAGTCAGCGCAGGGCACAGTGGTCACACGGGGAAACAGCATGTGGAACTCACGAGCCTCCCTCCACTCTAGATATATCACAACTGGACATCAATGTTTTAGACACATAAAAGCACACATGCTTGCTAGCGATTTACGACTATTTGGATGCACTTAAGCATAAATATTAATTAGGCATACCTGAATTTCTCAAAGAGTAGTCCGGGGCCAGTTTCTTCTTTCCTAGATGGCTATAGAGGAATTCCTTGCTGTTATTTGTTTCTGCCATTACTGAATACTTGCTTCACCTGAAACATTTTATGGACATGTGTGGGTCACCTGAGTAGAAGCCACACATTATTTCTTATTGTAATGAATAGTAGTAATGTAACATGTTTTTTTTTTCAATTTGCACATTCCAGGACCAGATTCAAAATTTTACTTAAAGCAATGTTCAACACAAACCATCAAATGCGTCGACCCCTTTGGCGCTACCACGCATACTAAGGATGAATGGGAGGTGAATAGGAGTAGATGCCAAGGGCTTCAGCATAATAAGTGTTGTAACAGGTGCTGGTGTCCGAGTCACCAGCGTTATACGCGTTGTTGTACAGAGTCGCCAGTGACTCCGTGACAGATGGTCTTGATTCTGTGTGCCAAGTCGTGTCCGAGTGCCGATCGCGGCACAAATTGTGAGATAGGACACGCATCGCGCTCAAAAACTGCACCGACCATTCCTCGTTCTCCTGTCAGAAGGCTGGTCCGTAGACTGAAGTAATGCGGCTCCCGTGGCATTGTGCGGTCGTGCTCGCCGTGCCCTGCGCCTCCATTCCTCACTTAACCGTCGCGGATGAGGTCGGTCATAAAGGGTGGGGAGATGTGGTAATATCTGGCTGTGGGTTTGTATTCCTGTTGGTGTTGGCGGTCCACAGCACTTCACAGCTGGTATCTTTACTATCTAGAGTTAAGATGGCCTTGGCTAGTATGCAAAGGCACTCAGCCTACAGGTACTGGAGGGGTGCGAAAGTGGGAGCTGGGTGTAGGCCAGGCTTGTTTTGCTTGTTAGCAGCATAGCATCACAAATCATCATTTATATTCCATTCATACTGAGTGTATGCTCCATATGCAAACTAAGAAGATTAAAATAGCAGTACACCTATTTGCATTGAAAAGTCCTTGATACCAACATACCCTGATGAATGCTATTGCTACAAGGGCTAATATATCACAGTTCAAAAGGCCCAAGGCTAAGACTCTTCACATATTGCAATTAGACATTTAGAAATTCCTCTTTTTTATCAATTATGAGAGTAAGCTCATCAGTCATTGAAATATCAAAATCTAAAACAAAGCTTCAAACTCTAATTCTATTCTCTTAGAGTAATGTCCACCCTTTTCGCAAGGCTATAGAACTCCAGGTAAGGACACCAGCCGTTTGACCTTGAACGCCGCCGGCCGGCCGATGACGTCATCGGAGGCAAGCCGGCTCGGTGGACACATCGGGCGAATGCATAACGGAGGGGTGTTGGAACGTTGCGGGAGCCGGGGAGAGATTTTAATGCGGTTGCATACCACCATTGTCATGTTGATTGATCTACAGACTGCATTCTTATAAACCTCGATGTTGCCTAGGCCTGGATGGTGCGTACATTCGTAGAACGATCACCCTGACCGACGTCCGTGGTCGAAGCCATGTCTATGCACCATAAGGACGCTAAGACGGGTGCAATAACGGCGACCTGATCCGGTCTCTGGCGAATCTAGAGGGTTCGTTAGGACCCAGGCCGAATCTGACAGTCTATTTTTAGGGAAACGGGGTGGGTGAATTGACAACCGATGGTTTAAGAGATGATGAGAGGGGATCCCATCGTCGATGGTTGTTGACAGCCAACACATGCTGTACTGGGCGGATAACGATAAGAGATAATGCCTGAACATAGGCAAGAATAATTGGTTTTTGTTATTGGTAATTGGCAGTTTGATTAACCAACATTCCCTCAGAAAAGTTGTGAAGTTTTCGTTTTATTCCCGAAAAGCGATTACAGGCGGTGCCCCTGTTGTGGGGGAACGGAAGACATTAGGCCCCAAATGCCTTTCCCTGGATCCGCAAGTGGGCTGCCCCAACCCGAGCTTTACTAAAAACGTCTTCAAATCCCACCAGACAGCCGATGTTAATGTGAATTCAAATCCGATAGCTCATCTCTGTCTGCCCGCCTAAATATACTACACACCGCACGGAGCCCGGCCCCGTCGGAGTTCTGAGCCGACAGTGACATTTTCGGCTTTCCCCATCCCAAGCTCGATTAGAACCCCACCCGATTGCTGATAATCATTCAAATTCAATACCTTATCTCTGTCTGCCCGCCCATAACCCTTTCATCGCACACCGTATGTACAGCGCCCGACCCCGCCAGAAGTATCCTAGCGCGCTGAGTAGTTGCCTCCAGCCGCGTCATCGCGAGGCCCCGCGAGGCGCAAAAACGAATACATTGCGCGAATAGCCGTGTCGCCCCCTGCCTTTTCGGCGGCGGGCGGGGCAGTTTGTTCGAGGCTGGCGGGAGTCAGCGAGGGCCGGGCAGCGGAACAGCATGCGCTCCAGCACATCACCCTCTTCTCGGCACACGGCGCAGAGTGCCGCGGGGCACCGCTTGTCTGGGCACTGCTGGCACGCTGCGGAGTGGAGACAGCCGATTCGGTGCCGTATTGGAACGAGCAGCCCCAGTGGCCAGTGGCCCGCCCTCATCTGGTGCACCGAAACGGCATCCTCTCGGTCCTCTCCGGGGATAGGGAGCGGCGGCGTGCTCCCGAGGAGTGGCTTGAATAGTGATTCTGAGCAGTTGTCGCGCTCTGCGCTGCACCATACAATGCGAGGCCGCACAGTGAACTGCCCTGGTCAGCGAGTGGGCGTTTGAGGGCAGGGCGGCCGTCTGTTTTGCCAGGTCGTCCTCGCTCTCATTCCCCTCGATATTGCAAATTGCAGTGGGCACTGGGCAGGAACCCACTGCGGTATTGCTTAACAGCGCTTGACGATGCTCAACAAGGTCTTCTTTACCTATCTCCACGCCAAGGGTTGAGGCCTCACCTGGGCGGCCGCTTCTCCACTGACTGCTGAGTTTGAGCGGCTCACCAGTTCGAGCACGCGACGACCGGGGCACGGACGTCTCGTCCCGAAACCTCTCCAGACAGTCGGGCACACTGTGGTATTTCCGATCCATTTATGGAAACGTTTCCATTTTTGGAACAATGTTCCAAAAATGGATACGCCGTTTCCAAAAATAGAAACGGTCTGTTCCATAAATGGAGACGCTGTGTGCATTGCTACCTTTAAAGCAAACTGGGCATTGATTGGTGCAATTTGGCATGCGCAGGATGCCACCAATCGACAGCCAGCATTCTAGTTTATGTTCCTGTTCTCCGACTTTCCGATCAGAAAACCGAAAGTTGACGAACGAGGCGATGCTTATAACATGTTGACGTGACAAAAAATTCACACGTTTTTCTAATCGAAAATAATAACATTTATGAATGTTTTGAACAAAAAATAACGTTATTAACAGACTACTGAAAGACTGACCCATTAATTGGAACAACCACATCACCGGGAACTTCAGTGTTTCATTCATTTTCACGCTGCGTTTTCCGGTGTACCAGCGGCCTGGTGGTCGTCAATCTTTGATTAAATCGCATGAAAGTTGTTGCAAAGCCCTATTTGGAGACTTATGTGGGCATTTTATGATATTTCAAATGTGCTGAATATGATCGTAGGCTCGGATCAACGTAAATCTCCGTGCAAATACGTAAAAAGCAGGATGGAAATAAGGTCTGCACCGTCGTCACACCAAAGTATTCTGACGATGAATTTATTCATTCTAGCTCATGTGTAACATTGGTATTAATTTTACATATTCAAATGATATCTACGCTTTATGTATTGCCCACTTTGGACCACATCTGTCCAGTAGTTTCTGGGAAATCTTAGTTTTAGTTGACTTTTGAATGTGCTCAAGTTGCAGCGCGTAATGTATTATTATCAAACCCGACGTCCAAGGTAACTGCCGAGAGCCAAGATGCTAAACCAGTCCCAAAACATCAAATTTTTAGTTGCATGTGAATTTTAAAAACACATTTAAGCTAAGTTTGCACACATTTGAACTTCAGCGTTTCTATTTTTGGAACATCGGCGTTTCCATTTTTGGAAACTAAGTCTCCATAAATGGATACGATTCAGGAGCATTTTAAAGACGTGAATTTGAATGCATACGACAGCTTTCCATGCAAGAAGACAAGTGCTTTTGGTGTATCTGAGCTTGTTTTACGCAAAACAGTTGCTATACATCAAATCCAGCCACCCCTGGCAAGAATATATGTGCGGAGATGTTAGCGTTTCTATTTATGGAACGAGCGTTTCCATTTTTGGAACAGAAGAGTAGTCAAAATTGGAAACGTTTCCAATAATAGAAACGTCTCCATAAATGAATCGGAGATACCACAGTGCGCCCGACTGCAGAGCCGCCCACAGGGCAAATAGGTAAGCTGCTAGATTGACCAGCATACCGCATAAATTTGGTGATCGTGTTTCGCCAAAAAAATTATGTGACCGCCCTGCGCCGAAAAATTCGTCCGCCGCCATGCTCTGAATTCGGTGCATGCGAAGTTACGCCGGACGTGCGCTGAAATTTTCGGCGCAATCCCGCACTACGCCAGACATATTTGGAATAACACATATTTTTTCCAGTCTGGAGCTGACCTAAGATGATCATATTGATGTGTCCAATAATACAAAAACAGCATTCATTGAGGATAAAACGGTAGTTCGACTACCCCAGGTTCAGCGCTAGTAGCAAACAAAATAGGTAAATAAAAATTGTTTTGACCCAACAACAAACACACGTTGTTGTTTATTGTTGTTTTGGGTTAGGGCGCGTAGCAGCTTGGACCAAGGCACTTCATGAAGGGGCTTGGACAACAAACACACACTTCTCCAACCAAATCCCCGCGCGCCCTAACTCTTCAACAACAACAACAACAATCCAACAAAATCTTGCAGCGCGCCGCTTCTGTCAAAAGAAAAGTTACCGGCCCTGGAAGACCACAAACATCAAGTAACTGCTTTTGATGACGTCATAGGATACTTATCTCAAATCGAAAGTACAAAAAAATAATTGATAAAATAATTATGATATGACTACATTAAAAAAAGAAACAGAAAGTAACCTCTGTTGCCAACCCCAAAAATACTATGTATGTAAACGAAATACAAAAAATTGATCAAATGCATATTAAATGAGTCACAACTAGTGACATCATTTTTAGATAGTGAATTTCACAAAATCCTTCATCGATGAAAAAATTGTTGTTTGTTTGGTTTGACATTTGTTTGTATATGTGCCATCGTAATTTGGATGTGATTTTATTTTAATGTTATTCAATACTGTCCTGACATGAAATGGTAATAATCTTTCGGTTGATTTGTAAATTTTGCAGCAATTAAGGCTACAGTCGCTCCATGCATATCCTACCCAATAACCCAAGGCTATTTAAACCCAAGGATCCTACCTCACCTAGCATCACCTTTCCGTGCTTCTATCCTCAGGATACAGGAATCCCTCTCCTCCACGCCGCAACCCCCCTCCGGGCTGGACAGGCAACTTTATCTCATGCGGGCTGCTCCCTTGGAGCGGCACCGCTGCTCCCGAGGGAGCGCACCCCGTAGCCGGGTGGGCGGGTGCAGTGAGACGTGAGTGCCTTGGGGCTGGGTGGCCTGTCCTCTGGACGGGCTCAGCCCCGGCGACTCACTAGGGTGCCTGCCCAGACCAATGTCTCCCCCTATATCCTATCATCCTCCCGGCTCTGAAATGGTCTCATTGGACCGAACGAAAGGGCCTAACCCAACAAAACAAAACAGACAAAAAACCTCACCTAGGATCCTATCTTGACCTACCTGCTGCTAGCTATGGAGAAGTCGAGAGTAAAACAGGTCAATAGATAGAGACCGGCCTGTTTTCTTCACTGTGCAGTTATTTTTTCATTGCTGTGATAAAAGGTCTTAAAAGGCTGAACCATATATCAGATTACAAGGCTTACCTTTTTTGCAGCAGAACATTCTGATAAATTGTGTTGGTATCTGGACCTGTAGTCTTACTTTTCATCATGGCAAAAAATGGGGACAAGATCAAGATGACTTCAGATCAAGATCCTCTTTGCTGTTGTGAATACATCAACATAGATGGTGAAAGATCTCACCTATTGGCATTATGCTGTGACTGTGAGGCCATAGATGACACAGTAGACAGGTAAGAATCCACAGTATCTTATTCATAAATTGGAATTCATTATGTGCTGTGTATGTGCTGTGTTGATACTACACTGTATTACTCACTACACTCTACATTGTAGTGATATGCATACATACACTATCATATAACATGAGCTGCTCTAATTAGCACCCACCTCTGTTTCAGATGGCTGAAGGGAGTAGCAGTTCCTGAGTCCAGCTACTCCAAAATCTGGTCCACCGTGATGGACCGACTGAGGATCCCCTGGTCTGGGGGTGCCAGACAGTGCCCCTGGGAAGTCCTTATCCCAGCAGCAACCGTCCCCCTGCTGATGCTGTTTGCCTCACTCAGCATGGCCACAATGATGTGCAGTCTTGCAATCATTCCTCTCATCCTGCTGATATCAAGGGTGGTGCTGAGACATCAACCGAAAAGTCTCTTTTATTACATTTGGACATGCTCCTCATTTTTCACATTATTCTATATTTTTGAATTCTATGTGGTTCCTACGCTACTGATATCCTTCTATGAACACCTTCTATTTGCCGCTCTGCTTGCAGCTGCTCTTTTGAGCTGGTAAGTAGTTAATTATTCTGTCAATATTGACTCCTCTATCAGTGCATTCAACCATTCAACCATTCAGACTAAATTTATTTTAAAAAAGTGTAACCTTTTCAATGATGTTTTGGACCTAGGTACACATTCATTGAATTTCCTATGGCATATGGCCAGAAAGGGAGCAGTATGAAAGGATGCAGACTGCAGTGAAAAATTTATATGCTGATAATTTCGTTATGCCCTTTAGACCCTTTCAAAAGATTGTTTCATATTTTTTCCCAACTAGAAGTTTACTCTCTACCAGCCTCACCCCCACCGACCGCCCGCTCGCGCTGTCCTCAGGTACCGGGTCCGATCTCGGCGCGGGTTCTGCCAGCCGTCGTCTGCTGCCGATGCCGCCGACACCTTCTGCGAGCTGTGCGAGGCGGCCCGGCCCGCCCGCGCCTTCCACTGTGTGCAGTGCGAGCGCTGCGTCCTGCTGCGCGACCACCACTGCGCCTGGTGAGCGGAGGGGCCGATCCCTGGGTCGGCAGACCGGGGGGCGAGTTTCCTAAGTGTGGAACTATTCCTACCGTCGCCCGTTCGAGTGACGTCATCACTCGGCGCTGGCGGCTAGGTGCATGGATTGGCGGGTCCTTAAGTTGGCGAAGAGGCGGAGCCAGTTATCCTGCGTAAATATTTAGTCAGTCTTAATTTTAGCGAGTTACCTAGCTAGAGAAAAAGTAACTTGTTCTACGTGAATATATAACCGGTGTTATTTCAGTTATCGTTCGTGCATTCGCCCACCTTGGAAGCATATCTCCTACGAGGTGCTTGAGTTTTGACGGTGTGGTTTGTGCACTGCGTTTCGCTTCAGCATGGAGCAAATGTCTTCGGTATTACGGCTGGTGATACTGCCTATCGGCGTTGAATGATGTTTGACACCAATAGGAAATAAATTAGCAGGTAGTGCGAATTTATTATTAGCAGATTTATTAGCGAGATTATTAGCAGATTTATTAGCGGATTTATTATTTATCTTATTAGCAGGTAGTGCGGATCTATAGTGCGGATAGTGAGTGACGCCATCTGGACCGATGCTGGAGATGGTAGCGCCACCTGCTGCCACTTAACTGCTCGCTACTTGTAGTGCCTGGCTGGTGCTGAGTGCTGATTGTTTGAAGCGTAGTCTAGTACCTTATGACGCACAATATAAGGTCACTTTGCAAAATTTGAGGAGCATGGACGAATAAATTTGTGAGACATTGACGCCTTAGTAATACGTAATTGTTCCCAACACAAGCTACGTATTAGATTTCAATGTATTGCTCAACTTCCCATAATAACACCAGGGGCGCTAGTGCCGCGCGCCGCTAGCCTATAATCGTGCAGCGATTGGTCGGCCGACTGTGAGCCATGACGTCACAGCCTGTAACGTCATCTTGGCGAAGCTTACGCCAATCAGAGACCTTAGGTATGGGCAGTTCCACACTTAGGAAACTCGCGACCGGGGGGTTACCAGTGGAGGATTCAGGAGGATGTATTACACTGTTTGTGATGTTTTTATTTGGCGTAGCCATGTAGATATGGTACCTTTGACTCACTGATTAGTTGGCTGGTGTATAACAAAACGCTGTAAATAACAATACGACGTAGCAATACTCATAGGCTGAATGTGAACGGTTGCATGGTTGCACCAACAATGTCAAAAGGGTGGGTATCAGCTATACGTTCGTTCACGTCGTCCTGTCTCGGTGTCCGTGTCGCAGGCTGGACTGCTGCGTGGGAGGAGCCAACCAGCGTCCGTTCGTGGTCGGCCTGGCGAGCGCGGCGCTGGCGATGGCGCAGGCGGCGTGGCTGACGGTGGCCTGCGTGTGTCCCGGCCCGCTAACGCCCTGGCTGGTCCTCACCTGTTGGCCCGATTCCACTGCGTGAGTGATCGTCATATCTGCCACACCTCCACAGTACACACAGCTCCACAGCTCCTCCACTGAGGGACCGGCGCCCGCGGTATGCCAGAGAACTAGAGACATCGGCCACAGACACAGCGAAGGGCGCGGAGACAGAGGGAACCGAGACAGCAAGGGCGTACGCTACGAGGCTCACATGCCACAAAACGTGACATCACGGATACAGAGTATGAAGGAAAGGCATCGACATACACCGGAGTTTTAGGGCAGATATCGGGGCATAGGACGGATATCGTTGTTGATATGGGACATAGCAAAGCACCGGGGGAGCGGGGGTGTAGTTTCATATGGACATGCAATGACAAAGACAACCGCACCGGTGCACGCCAGGTCGGTACATAACACAATTTATTGCAACGGTCGCTTCAGGTTCCACTGACAGTATTGGTGTTATGTGGACTGCTACGGTGCGTCGGCGCAATACCGACGGTTATGCAGAGCTGGGCGCGTTCCTCGATTTTCGGTAGTGCGTTAGCGTTCCTGCGTTCCTCCGGCCGCGGTCAGTGCGTTCCTGGAATATCGTTCAATTTTTTTCGCTCGGTGCGTTAGCGTTCCTGCGTTCCTCCCTCAAAAATACCGCCGAACCACGCGGCGCGGGCCCAACCAAACACAGGGCGAATCGATCACAGAATACCCAGAATGGCGACGCGGGGCCGAAAAGCAACTCGACATCTCTTTTCCGAATCGAATATCTGAAATACGTTTTACCAATATCATCCGTAGGGTTTTCAACAAAAATACGACCTGCTTAAAAACAATAGTTAAGTTGAAAGATGTATCTAAGTAAAAGTTATCATATTTACTTTACACATTGCCTGAAACCGAATCGAATAGTAAACATCACCACTAAATCTAAACAAGCCTTCCTCGATTCGACCGACAAGTGGCGCCTCTACCGGCAAACGCACGTACTCGAGATTCAAACATTTGACACAGAGTTCATTGACAGCAATATCCAACAACTCATCTACCTATCGGGGGGTTCTGAGTTCTTGTTACATCGGACAAATTCTAGTTCGGGCACATTTTTTTTTCATGGTTCCTATAGCAGGGTTCGCACTTCACAAAATGAGGAACGCTTCAAAATTTCGGGTGGTGCGTTCCTCTTACTTGCGTTCCTTTGAAAAACTGCGTTTCTGCGTTCTTGCGTTCCTAAAAAGGGGCATAAAGCGTTCTTGCGTACGTACGCAAGAACGCAGTAACGCACTAAAGGAACGCACTTGCCCAGCTCTGCGGTTATGACTTACAAGTGGTGCAGTGGCTGCCACCGATACGTATGGGGAGTGCAGTGACTGTAAATGCGTATGGAGTCGGCACTACATCAAGCACTGCTGGCAACTGACGGGTCATAAAAGAATGCAAACTTAGATGTATTACATTGTTTGGAGTGTTAATTTCTATCGATTAAGCTTACCACATATGACTGGTGCTCCGGGGCAGCAGTCGATATCGGACACGACTTTACTGTGACTATTTCTGTAACGACTGCCCGTGCTAAACCCTGCCGGCGCCGGTTGACCGTCCCCCCCCCCCTTCTCCCCTCCCCTGTGTGCTGTTTCGGCTGACCCTAACCCCCGTCGCGTGTTCTGCTGGCAGCGGCGCGGCGGCCCTGTTCGGTGCCCTGTACGCGCTGGTCTGCGCGGTGCTCTGCTCCGCCGTCCTGGCCCACCAGTGCCTGCTCATCTCTCTGGGCCAGACGGGCTGCGAGCGGCGGCGGCAACTGACGCCGCCCGGACCGCCTGTCGGCCTCCTGGTCAACTGGTACCGCTTTCTGACGGGGCGGGACGAGCCGGCACCGGAACCGGAGCACTGACATGCGGACACGGCGGGCGGTGGCACCTCCTGCGCCTGATCTCACACCCAGAGCCGTCCTCAGCAACTGCTCACAGTCACAGCTATAGTCCGGAGCCGTGGTTCTCCGCAGCTGACGGCAGGTATACCCCAGAGTCGTCCTGCAGGTGCCGGCAGCTAAAGCACCGAGCAGTACTGTGCTGTTGCTCCTCGTAGTCTCGGTTTGGAGCTGCCATCCGCAACCATTAGGCAAGCAGCCTCTCACCGCAGTCGGCGCGGGGCGCCCTTTTGGCAGCTTCTGGCTCCACACCACAACCGCTTCGCGTAGCTACGGACACTAGTCAGCTTTGAGTCAGCCCGTAGCCGCCCTTTGCCGTGTGCACTGTGTAGCTTTTGATCCCAAGTCTGCCGGCGTCGTCAGTGTTGCGACCGATATCGGTGACTAGACCGATTGCAAGCAATAGGGTCCACCGCAAGCAAGCAAGCATTTGACCTCGCCAAGCGCACTTTTTCGTTGGCTGTGTCTTTCAAGGGACTTGTGATAGATGTGCCTTATATTTATTATCTTATTTACCGTTGATATTATATGTGAGTGTTTTTGTGACGAGTTACACATTAGATTGGTCAGGGATCAACTGTAGTCAAATAGCAGAAATACTCCGTGCTATGATAAATCCGCGAATTAGGCGGTATCGATTTTATCATGCGTTCCGGAGAAAGATTATAGAAGACGCTCACATAATTGTTGCCGTCCTTGTATTTGTGGGCACGATTTGAGGGTGAGGAGATCGCTCCGAAAGTGCGGCTATTCTGCACCTCACTGCCAGACCGAGCAATGGTACTGGTGGAGCTCATGCTTATTTGATGCAGTTGCTTGTTTAATGTGCATGCCAGTGAATCCGTTTTGGGAATCGTGACATATCACTAATGGTGACCAAAGTAAACGACAGCTTAATAAATCACGAAAAAACTAATTGACACGTTTCAGTCTACAAGAAAAAATTAGGTAATAATGAAAAAAATGATAATTCGAGGATGCTCAGCTCCGTGGCGCTCCGTCGTTTTTTACGCGATTTTTTTCGTGAAAACCGGGGATGGTCTTACCGAACCCCTCCCCCTTCCCTATACGAACGAGGGCAAACCTCGCACACAAGCACCGCCAAGCCAAGTCGTCACCCCCCCCCCCCCCCCCTAATTACGCCTGGTTGAGGTTCGGCCATCATACAATCGCTCGCAAAACCCCGTATGACTCATTGCTCACCCCTACACAGACGGTGGCGCTCCGACCGGTCGCGGCGGTGGCGGCGCGGCGGGGCGATAGTGCCGGCCGGCGCGCGGTTCCTCAGTCGTCCTCGGTCAGTGGAGGGGAGAGCGTCACGTCCGACGGTGGTGGCGCGGGCGCCGCGAGGAGTGAGTGCGGTGTGGGGCTGATTGTGAGGTGATTGGTGATCTGACCGGGACGGAACGAGCACGAGTGATTCGACACGATGACCAGAAACAAGTCAGACGATTGGGATGTGGATATTAAATCGGCTCACATTCCAGGTACGGTTATACACGTTTTACGTTGCCCAGTATCCAATGAAAACTGAAATAGCGTGATGTGTAACCCATTTGGAATGTTGACCGAGCTTTGCACGTAGATAGGTAGGGGAGAGTGGGGTAATTTGGCCGCTTTTTTTAGAAAACGATATAACTTAAAATTGACGACATATTTCTGCATTTTCTCAACGCTGGCAGGTGTCGCATTCATTTTACTTTACTGGACAGTGAACTTGAAATGATAGAGTAATTAGTTATACTAGGTCACCCTCCCGCGCCTACCGGCGCTAATTGTAATCGTTGTTTGAACATCTATATAGAAATCCCTGCCCGTCCCGTCCAAAATCCCGACCATAATGCCCGCTCTCTCTCTCTCTCTCTCTCTCTCTCTCTCTCTCTCTCTCTCTCTCTCTCTCTCTCTCTCTCTCTCTCTCTCTCTCTCTCTCTCTCTCTCTCTCTCTCTCTCTCTGTCTCTGTCTCTGTCTCTGTCTCTGTCTCTGTCTCTGTCTCTGTCTCTGTCTCTGTCTCTGTCTCTGTCTCTGTCTCTGTCTCTGTCTCTGTCTCTGTCTCTGTCTCTGTCTCTGTCTCTGTCTCTGTCTCTGTCTCTGTCTCTGTCTCTGTCTCTGTCTCTGTCTCTGTCTCTGTCTCTGTCTCTGTCTCTGTCTCTGTCTCTGTCTCTGTCTCTGTCTCTGTCTCTGTCTCTCTCTCTCTCTCTCTCTCTCTCTCTCTCTCTCTCTCTCTCTCTCTCTCTCTCTCTCTCTCTCTCTCTCTCTCTCTCTCTCTCTCCATCTCCCTCTCTCTCAATCTCTCCATCTCCCTCTCTCTCAATCTCTCTCTCTCCCTCCTTCTCCCCTCTCTCTCTCTCTCTCTCTCTCTCTCTCTCTCTCTCTCTCTCTCTCTCTCTCTCTCTTCCTTTTCCCTTCTCACTCCCTCCTTGCCTCCATCCCTCTTCCCTCCCTCCTCTCTTTGTCGATCACTGATCCAATCGTATACTTACTTACCCCTCCCCATCCGTCTCTCTCCCTCCTATCCCCGTCTCCTTTATCACACTTTTTCGCTCGCTCGCTCCCTCCCTCCCTCCCTCCCTCGATTTCCTCCCTTTCCCTCAACTCCCTCCCTTCCCCTCCTCTCCCCTCCACTCCAATCCCCTCTTGGTAATGAAAAATATACTGGCTTCTTCCACGCCCGCGCCGCATATACATATACGTTTTTATGTCCCAGTTCAAGACGCTATACTTATATTGGTACGCTCGTAATACTAAACATGATCGCTACTTTTTCAGTATTTTGTGGAATTTTGTAACTAACCTATCCCAAATCTGAGTGACTCGCCCCGACCCTCCCCCGCCTTCCTCCCTCTGCACCCCCCCCCCCCCGCCCCCGGCACCCACCACTCACGATCGGTAATGTTCTCAGTGCTAAATATATAATTATTACTGCTCTGTTTCCGTCTCCGTCTTCCCTCTCTGCCTTTGTCTCTGTATCTGTCTCGTCTCGGATTCCATCCCAATTTCCGTCCCAGTTCCCGTCCCAGCTCCCATTCCCGCTCCCGCTCCCGCTCTCTTTCTCCGTCCCCGTCTTCATCTCCCTCCCGCTGACCGCTTCATCTCCGTCTCCGCCTCTGTCTCTGTTTCGTCTCTGTCTCTGTCTCTGTCTCTGTTTGGTCTCCGATTCCGTCGCCGTCTCCGTCCCCGTTCCCGCGCTCCCGCTCCCGCTCTCTTTGTCTCCGTCTCCGTCCCCGCTCCTGCTGGCCACTACATCTCCGTCTCCGTCTTCGTCTCCGTCCTGTCCCCGTGCCCTTCCCTGTGTCCTTCCCCGTCCCCACTAAACATAGTCGATAATCTTGTCAGTATTTTGTGGAATTCTGTAACCAACCTATCCCAAATCTGGGTACCTCGCCCCCCGCCCCCCGCCCGCCACTCAGGATCGGTAATGTAGTTATTCGTAGCGGCCGAGTGCTGCAACTAAGCTGTAAGTGCATTTTAAAAACGTCTTTCGGCTCCATCCTCTGTACTTGTTCTCTCACCGACTCAATCATTTGCTCACTTACCCTTCCTTCTCTCCCTCCATCATTTCTTTATCCATCCATCCACCATTTACCCTTCCCATGTCTGTATCATACCGCATTCCCGCTGTCCGGCAGCGGCCGCTCTGACGGCACCGCAGTTACCGCACCAACCCCTCCGCCCGCTCGCCCCACACTGCGCCGCCGCCGGCCCGTGACTGCGGCCGGTCGGTCACGTGGGGACCGCAGCGACCTCTACGGGGTCGCGACCCTAGCGGCCGGGTACTGCAACTAAAGATGTAAGTGCGTTTTAAAAACATCCCGAGCTGGAATCGAACCAGCGACGCACACCACAGAAGTCCACCACTCTACCAACTGATCCATCAAGGACACAAACTTCAACGCTTTGAATAAGCCTTGGTATTCTGCACGACTTGATGACATGGTCTGGTGCGTATTGCGGCGTTTTACGGCAAAGTGGTTGGGAGCAAATTTGGTTTTAAATGAAGGTTATACGCCATGTTTCTTGGCGAAATTCTCAGAACAAGAGGGCAAAAGCAAGGCAGTACGCTGTAATTGGTTGTCCACCGGCGACATGCACGTTTTATGATCGGCGATCGCCGGTCGTGTGAGCTGACGTCACGCAGACAGTCAGCGCCATCTCTGGAGCGTCGGACGACATAGTCGAGGGGCCGAGTTTGGCTATTTGGGGGGTGCAAATGCGATTAAAAATGTGCCGCGCACATAGCCACGATCGAGAGCTGTCGATTGGTGGTTGAATCGTGTCTGTAGGTGGTGTGGTTTGGGCGGTTATCCCAAAAAACTGAAACGCTTCACGTATTATTTATTGTCGATTGAAATTGTGACGTATTACAAAGGTCTGCAAGGCGGCCAAATTGCCCTGCTAGCAGGGTTATTTGGCCGGGGGTGTGGGGTAATTTGGCCGGTGTTAGTTTGCGGTCGGGATTTTATGTTATATTGCGAGTCAGCTTCAGATTCAGCAATGACGGTGTCCTATGACGCATTTGCCGCATTTTGGAGGTTGACTCAGGGGTCACAGGGGTCAAAATAGCCAAATTAGCGGCTCTAGTTGCGATCACAGTTTTTTACGAATAACTTTTGAAGTAATCAAGCTAGGCCAAAACTTCCGAGTACCACCGTAATTCTCTCGTCAGTCCGCATCGAAAGATATATGTGTTGACCTTGAGAAGTCAAGGTCAAAGGTTGACCTCAGGTCACGTTGCATCAGGTCGCTTGACCTCAAGGTTACACGATTTCGAGGTCATCATGCATATCATTCGATGCGCCTTGGCGAGCTGAACAGAATGAGACCATTTGTGCGGCTGTACCATTTTTATGTAAGGATTTATTAGCAAAAAACGTTTGGTAACCTTTGATGACGTCACATGCTCTTACAGTTGACCAATCGAAAGTAAGGCATGGAAGAAGTCAAAGTTGGTCATGAATCATGCCATTTATGGTACAATTGACCATGAAAACTCGGCCGTCCCAGCATAGTGACCATGAGCGCACCGGCCAAGTTGCCCCGCTAGTCCCGGCCAAATTACCCCATATTGCCATTCTGAAATTTTTTGTCTATAAAGTCATCACGGCTATACGGAATTAGATTAAATTGCTCTTGGAACCGCTGAACACCCCCAAGAATGGCGCTATAATGTCTGAATTCGTTTTTAGCCCAAACACTACGTGTTATACAACTTTGTAAACAGAAGTAAAAGTTACCATTTTCTAATGAAATTAACGTTTTATTAATTTTGAATAAAACTACGAGGGGCAAAGTTTTGACATTTGTCCTCCAGTTATTTCTACCCATGACAAATGAATAGAGACTAGAGTTATTTCACTCACTTTTATTAGACATCGTACAGGTGGGGGCGGCCAATTTACACCACCGGCCAAATTACCCCACTCTCCCCTATAGGTACCCACCCACCCATCGCTTGATAAGTAAGGGAGCCGCATATTCTTCAGCTTGATACAAAGGTTAATAACTACTATACGAAATCTGACATCACATTAGGTAGGATGATCTGAATATGCGTGCGCCATGATCGATGAAGATGTTTTGAAATCAGCTGAAATAGGTAATTTGAGCATATTGTGATATAAGTAAATTGTAATGTCATTGTAGCGCCTATTTTCTCGTGTTCACAGCTTCCTTTTCTTTTTCAGCCGTTCACGAGCCGCCTCGGTTTGAGATGGCCCGCACTCCGGAGCACCGTCTGAGCTCGGGCAGCTTTCAGCGCTCTGCCACTATGACCATTGCGCTGGACGGAGAACAGGTGAGACCAGCTCAATAACAGCTGCCTGAACTAGGGCCTTGGCCGGAACTGTGTCAGAGCACCGTTTAAACTCGGGGGTAGCATTCGGCGCTGTGCCACCATGACCATTGCGCTGGACGGAGAACAGGTGT